AATGGTCAATATCAGTGAATGTTCTATGAATGTAATTCATTACTTTTATCCAATCTTTGTTTTTTACCATTTAAATTAAATTCTGTAAAGGTCATGGTTTTCTCACATGGAATTGTTCTGTGCCTGGAACATTCATCTGTGTAGTGCCCTGCAACCAGTGCCCTTTCAGTGTTCTATCTGGGGACTCAGGGTTATTGTCCCTACTCTATTTATAAACATATTCACTGAGTTAGAAATACTTCTATTATTCTTCTACTGTTTTTATCTGTTGTCTCTTAACAGCTATTTTTGAGTATCACAACTGAAACAGGATCAAGTCTTGTATTTTTTTACATTCGTGGCAAGCCTTGTTGACTTCCTTAAGCACATAATACCCCCAGTGTTTTTTTTAAAGGTTAGACTATAATTAAATGCTTTGCCAAATTAGAGCAGAATAGTCAGTGCTCATGGCTGTAAATAAGGATGTCTCAGAGTGATGGCAAAGTGAGCGGGGCTGGCAGGGATGGGTAAACTCTGTTACCTCCCATTTGCCCAAGTAGTTTCCTTTGAAGCAGTTTAGATGAAGAGACCACTGGGACATAAGCATTTTCTGTTATTGATCCTAATTTATCTAAAAAGCTTTCTGCAAGTCTGCTCAACTCACTTTTTAGGTGGTTTTCTTATCATTCCTTTTGTAAAACAAATTCTGTGATACACCTGCTGAGAGAGATGGCAAGTACCTGGAGGCAACCAGCTTTGGCCCTTGCATTCTACTGGTGTGTTTGTTACTGCCCAGTAGGAAGTAATTGAAAATGTACATGCTTAAAGTGATGCAGAGAAGAGAATGCTTAATGTCCAAACAAAACGTAGAGTTTGCTGAACTGTCACTGTTGCTAAGGAAAAGAAATTCAATTGGCAGGACGTGCAGAGCACTTCAACATTCCTGCAGTTGTCTGTGAGGTGTTGGATTTCAGATGGGAGACAAATAGGATTTAACACTGTCCCTTTTCCGTGGATTACATTTCCCTTTATAGCTTTGCAAAGCCTGAATGTGAGTGACTTAATTTGTTCTAGGGGCAAAGTTTTCTTAAATAAGTTTTGCAGAACATGCTCTCTTATTTTTCTGATGAGTTCATGTGCTGTCAGCTTTTTCCTCACTGAATGTTGGAGGAGATATGTTTCTATCTGCAGAGAGCCACAGGTTCAGCCTAAGTAGGTTCTGGGCATCTGGGCAGCTGCAATGTCCAGGAAGTATTAGCTGCTGGCCAGGTTCCATACAGTTAACTGGGAGCACTGTTGGCCTCCATAGGCTGTTGTAACCCAGCTAGGATTGGACTTGTCTTTTGGAGGTGTCTCTGCCCATCCCTTCTCAATGCAGCGTGATTCCACTTCCAGTATGGGCGTTTCATTTGACTAGGATCTGTCTGGAGCAAACTGTTCTTACAGCAAACATGTTTGCTTTCCTGCATTATCAGTCTTCTGGAAAGAATGCATTCTTCTAGGATTATGTTCATGTGTTTATGTGTTCTTAGTATCTTTGTTTCACAAAGCATTATTTTGATGGGCAAAGGTAAAGTATTAACGGCAGTAAAAAAACAGTTAAAGTGGGGAACTTTGGGGAATTAGTGATGTTTTAAAAGCAAGCTATTATTTAGTGTAAGCTGATCTCTTTAGTATTGAAGAGGCAAGAGTATATGGTCCATGGAGGGAACAGCGCTGTAATTTCATGCAGAAGTTCTTTTGAAATTCAAATGTCAGTGTTGGAGTCCCAGAAACCTTTACTGATTCCAACATTTTTATGTAATAGACCTGAACTATAAAACTATGGTTATAAGATGGTAACAGCTATTAACTTTTAAAGAGGATTATGGTTGTACAGAGTGTTGTGATTAATGATCATATATATCACTTTTTATATGGCCGTGTGATAATTTTTAAAGAATTATAGATCCCCCACTTTCATTTTTGGCTTATTTTTAGATGAAGAAGGAATTTATTGTGGTCTGTATGATGTCTGGAGGAATGTCAATTACAACAGGGCATGTGTAGTATCAAGAATAGAGTAATTTCCACACCACCACCCACCCACCTCAATGAAAATATTTTTGTGTTCTGAAATGTCATATTTAGTTTAGTGATACAGCAAAAGGTCCTGTGGTCAGGTACAGATGTCTCTCCTTTGCTGGGTTTACTATTAACTTTTTCATTAAGGATCACATACAAAGCAATTTAATTAACCTGTTGAGGAGGAAAAAGTAGGTTAAAAAAAGAGAAGTGCCAGTTTTCGCCTGAAGGAAACACATGAAAGCAAGGTGGCAGGAGAAATGAAAGAAACTGGGAAAAACACTGTCAGTGACTCATATGCTAACGTGCATTTATAGTATGTGACAGTTCAGAGGAAGCCTGTGTATTAATGTGGTATTGAACTCAACTCTCAAAGCATTGAAGTTCTGTTTGCAGATAACTGAACTTACTGTTTCTGAAGAGGTCTGTATATTTATGGGGCCTTAGAACACCTCTCAGTTTACCACTTATAACTATCAGGAACAGCCACAGATACCTATTTTCAATATATCTGGAGCTCAAGAATCCATCAGTCATCAAGAAAAACCTCTTCTAATCAACTTTTTGTTCTGATAACACAGTACAAGACATGTCAAAAAGCTAGATTCTCAGCTGCTTTGAACTGACAGGGCTCCTCTGAGATTTCTTCTTCTGTTAACATTAACTGCAGTTTCTAGCATTGATAGCCATGAAAAAGAATCACTTAGCTGCCTCTTATCCTATGATGGGTTTATATTATTGCTGTGTATAAGATCCAGTCTTCAAAAAGCCCATGTTCACTTTGACAACATCTGCATGCATGTGGTGGGTAGCTTATTTTTCAATTTTGTGCTGAATTTCAAGCCCGGCTTCTCCTGTGTTAATCCCATTGACACAATGCAAACAGCAGATCTACTGTTCCTCTTGCAGTGCTTTATAAAGCCCAAACTAAATCAGTGCTGCTTCTGTTGGGAAGTGGGAGAAAAAGTCTCCATGTTGTGTTTTTAAGTGCTCTGCTCTTTCTAAATATTTCTAGCAATTAGTCCTGAAGTTTGATTGTTTTTGTTTGTTGGTTTGTTTGGGTTTGTTTTCTTTGTTTGTGTTTGTTTGGGTTTTAATTTAGCATATCTGAAAGGGATAGTCAAATCTATTTCTTGACTCAAACGTTGTTTTCCTTTATCACCAGCCATATACAGCTATTGAAAAGTACTGTATGCTTGTAGAAGTCATTGAGGGAAACAAAAATGAGGATGCAAAACTTGTAGCATTGCATTTCAGCCTTCACATGAATGTACCTGTCAGTGTAGTGAGAATATCTGTCCACCCTCACATTACGGACTGTCTATGGATAGAACCAGCAGCTGATAACCTGTCCATTGCTGGGTTCTGTTCAGAAGTGATGAATTGAAGGAAAATAGTCAGTGACAACAGACTGGATAAACGGCAGCTCCAGAAACTCTCTGAAAAATAAACCTTAGGTTGCAATAAAAGTAAGCAAGGTAGCTGGAAATTGGAAGTCTTGGTGGAATAGTTTATTATCTTACTATGCTTTCATGTAGTCATAATATGTTCTCAGTGTTAATAAGAGGTGCTCCAGACTTGAGTTCTGGTTACTTAATATATGCATTTTACAGTGTGGAGAGTCCAACACTTGGTATAAATCCTGTCAAATTTTGCAAGTGCTGAAACTTCAGTTTTACGCGAGCTGGAAGTTCTTGTGTATCAGTCTAGATATAAGCATTGTTGGTAGATCAGCAGAATTGCAGTTTAGAAAGGAACTGCAGGTCCTGACCCATAACTTTTAGGTTTGATAAACCTTTACAGGTGATCAGAAATCCTGTCTGCATTTTGAATTTTGCTGTAAAGATTGTGGTAAATAGAGCATGTTTTGTCTGTGTGTGTGAACTCATCTGTGAGGAGGAGGAAGTGGGATCAGCAGCTCCTCCACCTCCTGATTCCCTGGAGGCACTGTCAGACTCCTTTGAAGAGTTGTTCTGAGGTATCTCCTCTTTGTTCTGGGAGGAAGATAGTAAATAAATGTTGATCTGTAACTGCAGCAAATTTAAAAATAAATAATCCTTTTTGGCTGAGCAGGCTTGCAGGGTGGGTTTCTGATCCTTCTGAGTAGGGATAAGTAGTATTTTATCTTGCAGTGATGAAATACCTCAACCGTCAAGGAATCATGCCATATGTATCTCAAAACCTTATACAAAATATTGCACTTTTGTACTTCAGGGCTACCAACATATTGTTAAACCAAGCAGAGGAATTGAACTGCCAAGACTTGCATACACGTCCTCTGGTCTGTCTGAACTGGCTGCTGTAATTCCTGCCTGCCAGTGGCCGTTGCTGTCTGCCTGTGGCCATTTCTGTACCTCATCAACCTCACACAGAAGAGTTATCCCAATGGAGAAGGAAAACAGACATTGTTCCAGATAGGGAAAATCCCACAGGATCGAGGGCAGCTGTAATTATAGCTGTTCTGCTTGGCTGGAAGAATGCAGAGGAACAACAGGGGAGGTCAGGCTTCAGTTAAACATAATACTCTTTTGTGTGCCATAAATGCAGTTTAGCAAACAAAATTTTATTCAGTGGGACCAGAAACATGGTACAAGGTTTACTCTTCCTGTGTTCCGGTATATAAAGTGCTTCCAGCTTCCTTCAGATATACATCATGTTCTTCCAAAGTCCTACAAAACCATCCTAGTGGCAAATGTCTTGGTACTCCTTTTCTGAGGCTGATGATATTGATATAGTAGCAGAAATACAAGTTGAAGAATTAGCTAAGTTACATTTTTTGTCTGTTAAGTAACAGGAGGACCCAACACACAAAGAAGAGATAACCAGCAGCTCTATTTTTGATTTCCTGTTGAAGTATTTCTGAAGATGGACCGCTGAATGATGGATCCTTTCATTGTTGTTCTTTTGCCTAGGATCGGTTATGAAGTGTTTTAATGTGGCTTTTGTTTTATTTCCAGCCGAAATAAAGATCTGTTTTAAATACTACCATGGTGTTAGTGGAGCCCTCCGAGCTACTACTCCATGTATCACTGTAAAAAACCCTGCTGTGATGGTAAGTTTAGCCTATTTGCTCATTGTATTTGTATAAGATGATAGTGTTAACTGTCAAACAAACCTAGCAATGTAAGTCTCCCAGTCTTACCATTGACAGAATTTTTTTTCGAAAAAATGTCACAAAATTTACAAAAGCTGGGAAATGCCTTTCATGGTTTTGTATTGCTCATGGTAAAATAACAGTAAAACATCGCTGAGCTTAACTGAGCTCTTTTATGCTAAGAATTTGATTTTACATGCTTCCAGTTTTGATGCTTACAGTTTGCTGTAACTTAACACCATAGTAGAAATTTTTCACACTGGTCATATAACTGAAACTGAATCCTGATCCAAAGTCTCCATTTCTCCTTATTTTTTAATATTAATAATGAAACAGTTGCTGAGATAGCAATTGTTAGTGTAAATGAAACTGAACAAAAGTCTGCTCTTGTAAAAATCACTGAATTTTTTGAGCGTTCATATACCACTGAAATTTAGTAATTCCTTGATTATCAAGAAGTATTGTCTTACTGTGCTTTCATTATGAGACTTGTTCTTCCGAAACACTAAAAGTTTTAGAGGAGTTTTTTTAGTTGTTTAAATAAGTAGTGGAAGAAAAGCCTTCCAGACTTGTATCACGGTGCTTTTGATGGAAGTGATTTATCTAACAGGTTAGCTCTTCAGATGACATCAAGTTTCACAGTGCAATTGATTCATTGATATTAGCTGCCAAATATTTAAGGTCATATCTGTCAGGATGGTGTCCTGACAACTGCAGTGTTGAAGGTACAGTAGTGCACAAGTTAATCAGAGTGAATAACTTTTATTCTGAACTCATGCTTTTTCAGCAGGTGCATGCTATGGCTGTGTGATACTATGTGTGCTACACTAGACTTCATATCTCAATATACCAAATGTGTGTGTTTTTTCTCTTAGAATTACAGACATAGGTGATAGCATCATTTAATTGTCAGATCTTTTTCAGATCTGACTATGAATAATATAGTTTCACAGCAGGCATATGAACTCTTGCTATTTTACAGAAGAAAATGTGCTATAGTGAATGAGCTTGACAGCTACTGTCTTTAATATCAATTTATAAACTGAAGACAGTAAGGGAGTCTTATTTCGAACAAGGGAAAAAGTGCATCTCAAAATAACCCTTAAAATGGGCTGCATGCTGCACTATATCATTACTGAGAAGCAGAGTGAGTATGCTGAATGGAGAAACCATTTGAACTTGTGTATTTTCTTGATCTTATCATGCAAGCCCCCAGTAATTTTGAAGTTCATTGAACAAAAGGACATCTAAACTTCTGTTACCTGAATATGCACTTATTTACTTGGTAGCTACGTGAAGATATGTCTTTCAGAGTCATTGGTCAATCTTGAAGGCTTTTACCAGCTGTTGCTGTTTAAATTTCTTTCCTTTGAAAAGTAACTCAGGACCCTGGCTATTGTACAGAATTTACACACCTGCTAGAAGGGCTAATTTAACATAAATGTTTTTGTTTGCATTAACAGTACAGACTTCCAGTAATAGTGAGCTGTTAGTTTCCCTGATGAGAATGTTGTATGACAGTTCAGATGATACTTCCTAAAAATGGCTTATTGGGTTAGATATACATAAGCATACCTATTGTTGAATATTAATACCTCACACCATTTTTGTGGTTTTGGTGTTGAGCTTAAGCACTGTGCAGTAGACAATACTGGTTTCTCCTGTTGCTGGTTGTGTCTGTTGTTACAGAAATGCTGTTTGGGGAAGTGGAAAGAGAGTCATGGCATTCCCCCTCCCATTTTTTAAGCTGCAATAAATTAACTCCTTACTTGGATCATTCTGTGTTTTTGCTTTACATGGGAGATATGGCTCAGTGGGAGATATGTTTCTGGATGTTCTCATGCTGATGGTGCATCACACCAGGCATTTCAGTCCATCATATTACTGGATAAGCAGCTAACATTCTACTGTGTTCCTTTGAACCAGGAAAGATAGAAGGCCTGACTGAGTGGTCAGAAATACTGTGTTACACCAGATAAGGTAGCCTTTGTGTGCAAAATTCTGAGCATGTATGCTGAGATGAAGATTTTTACTTGGCGCAGAAAAAATTGAAATTACTGTTCAGATCATAATGAAACAGGAAAAGGTTATATAGGGAAACCATGGAAGTGCTAGGGAACACTGTTACCATTCCTTTTATTATAGCTGAATTGTGCACAAATCGTATTTTCTATAAAGTGAAGTCATGATTAGTAATGTAAATTATATGGAGCCCGAGATGTAGCTTGGAAAAGGGGTGTAAAAAGACAAAGAGGGATAGAATGAGGAAGGCCTTTTTTGTTCATGGGTAATGTTTTTAACAAGAAAACAGTGTATGCTAAAATAAGCCCAAAAGAATAAACTGGAATACATGGAATTCCTCTGGCCTTACGTGGACAGTATAACTATCACAGTGGGATGCACCCCTTGCTGCTTCCAGGGTGTCTGTCTGTAGATGAGGGGACACTGATCCAGCTGGAATTAACCCATTGCTTTTGATGCCCTCATAATTTTACTGCCACCTGTCACTGCTTATGCATCCATATAAAATCATTGGCAGAATAATGTCATGCTGGGTGGGAAAGGGATAGTTTTGAGCACTCTGGCAAGACACATCTTGCCCTGGGAAGGAGAAGTGCATGATGAAGCCAGTAAGGAAAGGGAATGGGCTGGTTGGTGGGTGGCAGCACTTGCTGGCATGGTGTGTTCCCTCACAAGAGCACCGAGGCCCGTGGGGATGTCAGGCATCAACGTCACTGCGGTTTCTTCATCACTCTGACTGCTTGTTACGTGTGAAGTATTTGACTTTTTCAGTGGGAGAAATCTGCACATTTTCTAATTGCTGTGAAATTCCAATGTGCTTGCTGATCGTAGTGGGAAGTATTTGAAAGCTAATAATATTAAATAGCTTAAAGCAATATAAAAAGGAATGATTACACGTTCGGTTAATGCAAAGCGGCTTCCCTGCGGCTTCCACAGCTCAAGAATCATTTATCCATCTGGTAATTTCAAACCACTGTTCAGCTGCTCAGGGCTGCCTTACATACTCCATCTATGCACATAGGTGTGTGAATTTTTATTCAGCTTATTTTATTTAATCATTCTATGGATCAGATGGCTCTGTTCTATCACTGGTATTAATCCCCAGTGCTGTGTTTGGCTGAAACTTTTTCTGTGTCACCTCTTCTGCCTGGGAATGAGTGCAGTGCCTGCCTGGGGAACCATTTGTCTTTAAAGATAGCTCCATTGATGTCTCCCTGATAGATTATTCAGCTGGATGCACATCTCCTCTGTCTTGAAAGACAAATTCTTCTGCTAGTTGAAAGAGATAGACATTAATACATGAGGAACTTTTTATTCTGAAGTAGTGCTTTACCTAGCAAGGGATTTCAGTAGAAACCAAACCTAAAAATCCGTGAAGCATAAGCTTTTAGACCATGTTTATATTTAGATATCTGATGCGCTTTTCTCTTTAAGAGGAGCTTTTGTTCACAGATCTGAAGGCTTTTGTTAGTCTCTCTTTGATCTCTTTGCTTTTTTTTGTTGCACACTAAATTATCTATTTGTGGAAAGTGACAAAAGTTCCATATTCTGTCACTGGCCGGCTCAGTGCTTTGGTATGTATTGAAAATCCATACTGTTTTTCTTATTTTACAAAAGGGAAACTTGTAAAAAAGTGCAGTTTTTTTCTGATTAACAGTGTCTGCATGTGTATTAGCCTGTACGTGTCCTGTTTGGAAGATTTGAGCTACTGGTGTATTATCACTGTGTGGCATAAATAATAGATATTTTGCTATAAACAAATGCTGTAACTGAGCCTGTCTGTGGTAATAGGCAGTAGTTTGTCAGATCCTTCCCTGGCATGCTACCTAAAACTGCCTTATCATCCTCAAGCATGTACAAAGCAGATGAAAACTTTTTTTTTCTTCTCTTCAGATGGGAGTAGAAGGCACGGATGAAGGTGCTTCTGGAGCCCAGCACTCTAGGAAGTTAGTCAGCTTTACCCTATCAGGTAAGAAACAACACTACTCTGTGTTTGACAAATTATTGTTAAAAAAGAAAGTAAATTGCTGTTCTAAATAACATCAAAGACGGAACTCTTTTCTTCATTAGCCTCTGTAGGAGCACACTCTAGTGGCTTGAAAGGTGTCATTTCTTTAGAACTTCTGTTTGTTGAAAACCAGCCAGAATCACGAATCTCCAGGAGTGAAAAAATGGATTTGATGGATCCCAGCATGAAAAACTTGGAGAAATTTCCAGTTTGCACATGGGACAGTTCCTCTCAGATTAAGAGTGGAAAACATAACCTCTAACTAAAATGCAAACTGGTTCCATCACTTTAAAAAAAACAATAGCTGCAAATGATGGTTTAGAAAAAAAAAAAAATCTTTACTTGTAACAGAGCTAAGCTGTCACTACAGAGAAATAGGTGTAGGGGTGCAGTCTACCAGCTTCACTTGTTTTGATTAACACTTTATTCCAGGGAAGTCTTGTGTGAGACTAAGGCATGTTCAGCTTGATCATAGACAGATGAAATTTGCTTCTGAATCTTGAAGAGCTGACAATGAAAACATTTAGAGATAGTAGAGGTAGAGCAGAAAAACCCACTGCATTTTGAAATGGCCTTTCAGCAGTTAGCTGAGATAGAGCTGATAAGTCGTACAGACTCACTTGGAATATTTTACAAATAATTGTTTTTTGAATTCTGAAAAACTTGTTTTTTTAATAGATGGTTATGACTCATTGTGAGGAGTCATACAAAATTATTTTGAAAGGTGTATTGACTGATCGATCTCTGACATGTTTCCTGTAAGGCTTTTGGTTCTTCACTTGCAAATTACTCTTTATTTCATCATGTTTCTACCGTGTGGCTTAATTCTGGATATTAGGTAGTATTCCTTTTTTTACCGAATCCACAGGCATGACAATTTTAGTGCAGTGAATTTTGCCTACATGTATAAATTGTATGTGCCAGTTGTGTTAGTCATGAAGACTGCATGCCATAGTACCTAATGGAGAAAAACACAAAAGTCTTGTGCTTTAGCAAACCTACAGAGAAATATTTTACAGTTAAGCTTAAAATCTACTATTATAGAAAAAACCCACTCTTCCTTTTTCTTATTGTTGAAGCCTGCACTATCATTGAAGTCCTTAGTCATGAGAATATGCTTCTGAGGAAATAACTGTTTATTATTGCAAGTTGCAAGGGCTGCAGTTCTGAGGTTTCCATAGGAAGAAAGCAGCTTTTTCAGAAAACTTTGCCTCCTTTTATTTGAGATAGGTGATCTTCTTATGGGTTGGGAGAAAGTGGGCATCATATTCCAGTGCAGACTTGATATTTACACTGATTTTACATTTATCAAAGACTGAACTTTGAGAAAGTTTGAGTTCACTACATTACCTCCCATATAGTTTTTTATCTCTTCTCCTTACCCAGAAACAAAACAAGTATTGTGTGATTTATTTTGGGGTAGTTCTGTCTTTCTTTTCATTCTTTGAGTGGAAATACCTTACTGAGGAAAGTATTTGTAGGTGAGCTACAAGTTTATGCTTTTCATTTTATAAATAACTGTGGGCTAAAATGTAAATGAGGATATTGATACCTTTGTTCCTTATATTCTTTTGGGAAAACACTTGATTTCCTGCTGTACAGTGGATTCAGTTAGTGTATGAGTAATTTTAAGTTGCTTTATTTAGTAATTTATAGTGAATTGATTTCCTGGGTAATATTTTAGGAATACGCAACTTTGTGAACTGGCATTAATTTACTCAATTCCTTCCTTCTTGTTTTGCTTTGTAGATATTAGAGCAGCTGGACTTAAAAAAGGCATGTTCTTCAACCCTGATCCTTATCTAAAGATGTCCATTCAGCCAGGCAAGAAAAGTACATTTCCTACTTTTGCTCATCATGGCCAGGAGAGAAGGTCGACTATCATCAGTAACACGACTAATCCTGTTTGGCACAGAGAGGTAATGCATCCCTTTTGAGAGCTGTCTGCCAGCTGATGGAGTGTATCAGGCTTGCATTTTCTCTTCATGCATTAGTCCTTACCCTCTGAAAGTTGTGAGCTTATTTTGTAGCTAGTTATTTAAACTGACACAGTAATTGTAGTAATTTTAGGAACCCTGTTGGTGGAGAGGTATCATCTGTGTATTAAAGCTGTGTATTTAAGCTGCACTGCTGTGAGGTTTTCATTCCCTTCTCTGCTAAAAAAGGGCTGAACTTGCTTAGCTGCCCTGTAGATTTCTTGAAAATGCAAAAATAAATTAATTAAAATGGATTATATGTTGTGAGAAGACCCTTTAAGGAAAGTTACGGTATATGAGCATTTATGTTCAGTGATTGCAACAACTGTTCATTTGGAAATGATATTTTCATTATGCATAGCAGGTGGCAGGCTTTCAGTTCTGTCAGGCAGAGGGGATGCTCTTTGGTGTAGCCCCTGCTTGCACTGCTGTAGGACAGAAAACCCAGGGAAGCATTACAGCACCACTCAGCAAGGAGGGGGGGGAAAAGGCAGTCTGGCAGAAGCCACTTTTGTATATGTGTCTGTTTTGGGTGAAGTGTTCAGATCTCAGAGAAAGAACTCAGTCCAACAATTGTCACTGAGTGCAGAAGAGCCAGGCTGTGCTTTTGAGGATAAATGTTTATGTGGGAAACAAGGTGAAAGTACTGACACAACACTTTCAGGACTGGCAGGCAGCCTTCTTCATCTGTGACTGTTTTCTAATGATGCCTGTACTGTGATGAATGTTAATGTGTTCTTTAGGAAGATGAAAATTGAGCAGGCTTTGGAAAATGTTCCCACAAATCACGATCAAACCAAACAAGCAGTAAAGTAGAACAGAGCAGGGCCAGCATTAGCACTCCTCTGGGGTGCTTGGTTGTGGGACAGACTGTAGATGTGCCAAAGTCTTAAAATCTTAAAAAAAAAGAAAAATCAGAGTTCTGATCTCTAAATTGATACTTCACCCTTCTCTCTGTCCATCCATCTATACAGTAGTTAGAAAGAAAATTTACTCTTATTTTATCCCCTTTTTTCTCCCCCAGTTCTCCTTGGTTTTGAAGCTTATTAGAAAAGTGATAATATTCAGTGGTGCACACACTGTATCAGCTTGCTTTAGCTGCTGTATCTTCCCTGTAGCAATGCTCTGACAACAGCAGATATGATCCCATTACATCTGCTGTCCTAGTGGTGCAGAATTGATCCTGTTTTCCATCTAATACTTTCTGCAAAATAATTTGCAATATTATAGCAAACTGAGAATGACAATTTTTTAAGTTCTGTTTATCACAGGAATCCAGCTCTGATAGTTGTGCCAGCATGAGGAAGTGTTTTTATTCCTGACCCAGTTTAATTGCTTTTTTTGAATATTTTTATCTGATGTCTGCAGCTGAACTGAAGAGTTCCTCCTTTTGTTTCTTATTCAATACATTTTTGGCTACCTTTTCCCCTTGTAGGGAAAGGTAGGAGAATGAAGAGAGTAACTGTGATATTACCAGACATCAAGAAGTCTTCTGTAAATTAGAACCATGTTGTTTAAAGGCTGCAAGTGCAGGAAAAGTTTCTGTGGGAATTTACTGAGAACACTTTTGAATGCTGGGGGAAAACTCCATAGAAAATTCTTCTCCTTTAGTTACACTGCATCTGAATATATATCTGTATATATTCTGTATATCCACACTGCCCTTTTAACTTCCTCTCAGTGCATGCAAAATTTAATGCAAAGAATGGTGTTGGAAGGGAAGTTCTTCCAAGCAGAGCTTGGAGTGAGACACTTACTTTCTTCTTCCTTCATTGGCCTGGCTACTCTTCCATAACCTGACAGAGTACAGCAAGGATTCCTTCTGTTTTTGCTTCCTACTATGCAAATGAAAGAAAGCAGTAGGATACATGGCTTTCTCCTTTCTGACCTAGACCCTGAAAGTGCTTTTACCTGGTGCAGTTTCTTACTGGACAGTTCTTTTCAAGAAACAGGTAAAAGGTTATGGGTAACAGTAAAAAGGTTATGGGTAACAGTAAAAAGCTGGTGACATATGAAAAAATACAGTGCTTAATAAGTGATGTTGACATTACTTTGCAATAGGGAAAGGGCTGTCATCAGTCATTACTTTTGGAGTTCACTGCACGTAGCTAGCACTTTGGTACATACTTTCTGAATAAAGGTGTATTGATACGATGTCAAATATGTTGTTTCCTTCCAGAAATATTCTTTTGTTGCACTTCTAACGGATGTCCTGGAAATTGAGGTTAAAGACAAATTTGCCAAGAGCCGTCCGATCATCAAGCGCTTTCTTGGGAAGTTAACCATACCAGTCCAGAGACTATTGGAGAGACATGCAATTGGGTAAAGTAATAGATTCTTAATGCTAACTTGTTTTGATCAGGAAGACTCAGCATCCGGGATACTGGCACAGAGTAACCTTTCTGGCTTACTGGCACAGACCATCAAATTTTAACTACATTTGTAGTAAGAAATTTAGTAGTAAATTAATAGCTTTATTGCCTGACTGGAAAATGTTAATATTTCTAACCTCGTCCTGAATGCATATACACATATTTCTGTTTGTGTGTCTATATTTCTTTACATAAAAAATGTTATTCTCACAAAAAGTGTTACCCTTGGGCTAAGTAGTCCAGAAGCAAGGCATTATCACACACATGATTGTGTGCAAATTTTTTAGAAGGAGCGGGTTTTATTGACTGACTTCTTTTGCAGTTCAAATATTTTTAATGATTGGTTCAATAATCAGAGATTTACTATCCTTTCAGCTAATTGGCCAGCACTGCAGGCTGTGACCCCTTATTTTCGAGAGTGCTCTTGGTACTATGCAATTAAAATTGCCTTTTGCTATGAATAGCACATTGATGGGACTCAAAATTCACCTGTTGTGCTACTGAAAAAAAATTCTGTTCATGTTTTGATAGCTAACTGTTCTGGTACAAAGATGCAAGTCACCTAGAAACTTTTAAGATGGTTTATGCCTTATGATGGTTACTGGAGGGCACTGTAGCATCCCCAGGTGGGTGATCCAACGAGGCCTTCATACCACCAAATGCACTGAGAAGAGCTTGAGACTTGGTAATTGGCACTGTGGTGCATTGCAGGTGTGAAGCCAGGTCTGCAGGAGATGTGTGCAGAAGTGTCATTTGCATTCAGGACAGCAGTAAGTGTAGAGGGTATTATTTTGTTAACATCTATTTGCATATATTTGCTCTGTTTGACAAATTAGAAAAGAAGAGTTCCTTGAAAGACAATGGGAGGAACTGAATTATTCGAGCGCATTTTCTATAGCCCCTGACTACAAGTCTACTAAAGTTAATGTGTCTCCCTTAATTAGAAAAGCTGCTGGATGAGGCCAATGAGGAACAATGGTGAAATAAAATGTATGTATTCTTCCCTGAAAGCTTAAGGGCATGGCAGTATCATCACACTTTTGCACAAAAATCAGGATATAATCAGCTGGCCTCCTTTTTCACAGATATTCCCATCAAAGTAACAAGTTGCATAAATGGAGAAAATCAAATTCAATTTGAAAAGTTTTCAGCTTTAAGTTTCAAAGTAGTGTTTACACTGGTAAGTAAAGTAAGAATAAAATTGTAAGAGTAGCTTAAAATTTTCATAGTGCATTCTGATATAGATTTTATTAAAAAACATTTTTAAAAAAGCCTGCCCATTTTTTTTGTAGTGGTATCCAAGAGTAGTGCAGGTGTATATACAATCTAACTTTTCTAAGAAATACTTCATCTTTGAGTTTTAACAAATTGTGTTTAGTTGAGCAAGCAGCTTTTTCTTATAAATTTGCGCACTGCTATACACTCAAAACTAGCACTGTGATACAGGCTAGTTTCAAAACCTAGCACAGGGTGTTTATTCCTGTGCTAAACACCAAAATGTTTCTCTGCTCTGGGATTCCTAGTGCTGTAATTTCTGAAAATTACCCATTTGCTGTGTTCATCAGTTCTTGTCTGTGTTTTTTCAAACCATTATTCTGGAAACCATTTCCTGTTTTCTTCTCCATACTTCTGTTCTGTATATGTGATATATCAAATCTTTTTAGGAAAGGAAAGGCAGTATAATAAATATAGGTAAGTATTTGCTTGGTTTACCATATGCTGTTAGAACTGACATTAAAATGGTTTTGCCTTTTCTTCAGTAATATATTTGTCCATTTACAGTTTCTGTGTAAAGATAGACAGTATTTCACAGAAGGTTTTGCAAAGTAAAGTTGTGGTTAATATAGACATGAAGTAGAAATGTACCATATGTACAAACAACTGCTTGCACTTTGTTTTTGGTCAAGCAAGCATAACACCATCATTCTGGTTGTATGAATGAAAATGTGAAATGCAGAACCAGCCACTTTTAGACAGACTGAACTCAAATTCTGGCCCACTTTTAGCTGTCATCATAGCTCACAAGTTTGTGTAATGAAGTGGCCAGTGGCTTTTTATTTCCTGGAAAACATGATAAATGACCATGAGAATCACCTAGAATTGATTCAGCTGAATACAGAGAAGGCATCATTCATGCCATGGCTTCCTCTAATCTTGAGTGGCCTAGAGTAGTATAAAAGCTGTGGAAACCTCAAATGTCTAGATGAAGAATTGTAGATGAGTTCACATGCATCACACCATCACATTCATCACATACAGAGTGATGAATCTGTGACAGGTCCTGGAGACACTACTGTAATAGTTTAGTGTTCTGAGGGCTGTAGAGCAGCATGGGGAGAGGAGGCTGCTTTGTCTTATTGTGTCCACTCGGGGCTTCTTTTGCTCAAAGTTTAAGCCAACAGCTGCAGCTTATTTCAATAATAGCTGCATTTGTTTTAGTCTGTTACTCATTTTGCACTAGGAGTGCTTCCAGTAAAGGAGAGGTGGTTTATACCAGTATAAAATTATACGCATAAATAACAGTAATTTCCTGGGGAGGTCTTCAGTAGCTCCCTCTTCTCCCTTCAGCTTCCCCAGATGTGCTGAGGGGGGCTGAGGCTGTGAATTCTGGCTGTGCCTAAATAAGAATGTATAGCCTAGGATCTGATCCGAAGTCTCAAGCTGATACAAATGTCTAATCAAATCTGAGTCCCACTGAATTCAATAACTCTTAAGAATGTATCTGAAGTTAAATCTAAGCATTAATAGCTTTTCAAAATCAGAATGCAGAAGTGCTTTATTGAGTGAGAACTAAAATATGAAGAGACTGTCTGTGACTTTTGTATATAGTAAAAACCACAAGGGGGCAGGAAGGTTTTGTTAGTTTTAAAACATTTTGGTTTGGGGGAAGGAGGAGGTTAGGGGGGATCCTTTGCTGTTTTGTTTCTTTAGAACTTAAGATATTTAGGGACATGTAAGAAATGGTGGGGCACAATGTGTATTTGGAATTGATAAAAAATAGTTTGTTAGGCTGTTTTATCTGTTAACAAAAGATATTTTACACCATTGTTAGTGTTCCATACAAACCAGAGTATGTGGCTGATTTTAAGACTGTAATAGAAATCACCTCCTATCACACTGTCACTTAACTGATAAGAGTGTCTGATACAAAATACTGGAAAAATAAAACTGGTTAAAATTTAAAAGTCCCAATATCTTTGGTTTTGCAGAGACCAGGTTCTCAGCTATAATCTTGGCAGAAGGCTCCCAGCTGATCACGTTAGTGGGTATCTCCAATTCAAAGTGGAAATCACGTCTTCTGTTCACGAAGGTGAGAATTTGTCAATGATCCGGATCTCCAGATAGTTGAATGGAGAGAGTTTGTATGTATTTCTGTGTCTAGGCTTTTCTGTTGTTGCAGAGATAATATACTTTTTTGATTGTGTGCAGTGCCTCTATTGTAGATTTTTTTCTATTGGGATTCAGTGTTTAGATATGTCAGGCACTGCTTTGGAGATGGTAATACCAAAACACCCAACACTTGGCATATTGTTTTTGATTTGTTAGATTTATTCTAAATGAATCTGCTTATGATTCTCATTTTATGGGATGGATTGGGTAATCAAAGTCACTGTTTCTCTTCAGTCTTTAACAGCCTGGGCTGAGATAAGCAGTTTCAAGTAAGGTTCTACCTGTGCTCTGTTCCTCTTCTAGTGTACATGCAGGTCACTTTGCCCTGTTCCTCTTTCACAGGACTCTGTCCTGCTTAGAGCCAAGAATATCTGTTAGGTTATGAGAATAAATGCTTTCATTTGGCAATTACTTTATTTCCCTTTTGTCCTGTTCTGAAGTGAACTAGCAAAATAATAGTTGTAATAATTAGCTGTAAGCACACTTACAGCTGGGTTGTTCATCTCTATGCACATCTGATTTCCATGTGGGCTGTCACCATCTCGTCTCTAAAGTGAGGTGGCTTATTTTTGTTTCCTTTTGGTATGTATTACCATATTATTATGACTATTATTTTGTTATTACCATAGCATACCTAATATGCATTATGCAAGTAGATTCCCATTCTTTACAGTGGAAAGTCCTGTAAACTAAATCAAAATAAATGCTGTGTATAAAATTTGGTATCTGTACACAATTTGAGACTCCTCATGTGATCTCAGATGCTGGTTTGCATGCTGCTAAGGGTGTGATGACAACTGGTGTCAGTGACTAGCTTTATGTAAATCCTACTTTTGGAAATGAGAAATACATTGTGAAAAATTGATTCCATATTTATGACACTGGCTTTACTGACAGTTTGGCAAGATGCTTGTCAGTGCTTTGTCTTAGAAAGCAAAATGGGAGTCCTTTAAAGTCATACTTCACACTTTCTGTGTCCTACAAAATAGTGCAGACTTACACAGAGAAAATTGCTGTTCCAATGTTGTAGATGCCTCTGATATTTTCATTGAATTTTCTTCCCTTAGTTGTCTAATTGAAATAAGCAAACATCTTGAAAGATGTGCATTTTTAAATGATTTCAGGGATGCAGACAAAGGAGAATGAACTGTATGTTGCTGCGTTGTGTTTCACATTCAGTCTTTATTGTCTCTGCAGATGCTTCACCAGAAACAGTTGGCACTTTGCTAGGAACAAACTCTGTAAATGGAGACTTGGGGAGCCCCTCTGATGATGAGGACATGCCAGCAGGACATGATACTTCCACAGTGTGTTCCAATGGTCCAGTGTTTGAGGAATCTTCTGGAGATGCAATCCTAAGGCACTCTTTAAGGACTAGTAGGACTCTGGAAAACGACCAGGACGAGCTGACCTCTGGTGCTTCAAGATCATCACCTACCAGAGGTCGCCAGGACTCACTAAATGATTATCTGGATGCAATAGAACACAATAACCATCCCAGACCAGGGACATCTGCCTGTGGTGAGCGACCACGTGGAGCCTCCCCAAAACTGAGGAGTAGTTTCCCTACTGACACTAGACTTAATGCTATGCTTCACATTGACTCAGATGAAGAGGAGCATGAGCTACATCAAGACCTGGGTTTTCCGTCTTCCTTGGAAGACGATGGTGGTTTAGTAATGCTTAATGGTGCTACAAGAAATGTTGAAAGAAATGGTGTGAGTTCCTCATCAGATCAGGTAGTGCAAGGGCCTGCAGAGAATGAAAGCATTTCAGCCTCTGATGCTCCTTTGCCATCAGCTGATGACCAGCAAGAGACTCTCCCAGAGCTTCTGCCGTCACAGTCGGCAGGACCTGAAAGCCTTCCAGATTCCCAAACCGAAGCACCAGCAGAGCAGGCTGGCAGCGAGTCGTGTGCCGCTCAGGAGGCAGAGCAGCCTCCCAGCACTGCGGACACGGGAGCTGCTGATGCCGCTGGTGGGAGCAGAAGGGGTGTTAGTGAAACGGAGTCCACTGATCAAGGGTCTGAACCTTCCCAGCTGTCATCAGAAACCGAGCAGAGTGACCCTGCTCGCACAGAAAGCGTCAGCGAGGCCAGTACCCGGCCGGAAGGGGAGAGTGACGTGGAAGGGGCAGACAGCTCCTGCAACGAGAGCGCGACTGTGCGGCGTTCCTCGGTTGAAATGCGGTGTTCTTCCTGTGAGAGTGCCAGGTTCCCTGAGACTCCAGCCTTTTCTTCTCAGGAGGAGGAAGAGGGAGCTTGTGCCACTGATGCAGCTAGAGCTGAGCCAGGTGCTGAAACACAGGACTCTGCAAGTGCTTCTGGTTCTCTGCCTGCGGTACAGTTACCTCAGGAGGAAGTACAGGAGGCTGAGGCAGGTGAACTGCAAGACCAAGAGGAAGCAGAAGAAATCTGGCAAAGAAGAAGAAGCCTGCAGGCAGCAGCTGCCCACAGCCAGTCTCAGGAGGAAGAACCTGAAGGAGCCACAGCAGCTTGTGAGGGTGCCACAGCACAGCTTGAAGGAGCTACTGGAGGTAACGACTTCAGGAGGCACTTTCTGAAGTGACCTTTCTGCAGTCAGTAAAATTAATGTCTGAAAATAAAGATCATTAATTTCTCATTTTTATTATATTTCAAGATTTTTCCTTTGAATTTATTTCCTTCTTCAAGAGACTCTTGGGGTTTTTTGATGTAACAAAAATTCAAACCTGAAATATCCAAAACATGTTTATTTTGAAATTGGATATATTTTAATTCTTAAGAGAGTAGTGAGCAGGATGAAGAGGAGGGAAGAAATCCAGAATATTATGCTCCTCACTAATACAAATGGTAATGAGGAGGGACAAAACTCCCAAAATGTGAAATGCAAATTAGAATTTATATTTGACTCTTAGCTTTTGAATGTTTATATATTAGCATTAAAACATGAGGGTAATCAAAAGAAAGTGGAAAAGAAAAAGAATTGCTTTTTGGTCGTACTTCAGGCTGTTTATCTTCCCTTTCCCAATTCCTTTTCTGTGTAGACGCATCCTAGCACACTGGAACCTTGAGAGGAGAGGAATGTGTTACCCAAGTTAACGTTGTAAAACTCTTACTGATTTTAAAATTATTTTAACAATTGAAATTTTTCTGTCTCACTAAAATCACTGAAAGTAGAAATGTGTCCCTAGTGGATTGTTTCCAAGCACATTTAACAATTACCTGTTCAGTTTCTTCAGGGTTTGAAGTGTATTTAATCAAGTGGGTTTCTGAATGCCTCTTTTTCATAACATATCAAGAGTTTTGGGATCTGTTAATTCCTTCTCTTCATAGACAGCTCATTGATTTGGTGATAAAATTTTTGGTATTTATTTCAAATACTGTCAATACTTTACAGCATTTTCTAGATATTTGGGATGCTCTTTATCAGTTGTCAGATTGCATCATGTTTTGCAGATCAGTGCGGCCGCAGCAAGGGAGGTCAATGGACAGTTTCACCTCCCACTCGTAAGGAGTGTTTCTGAGTGGGCCAAGTGAAGCTTTGTCCTGGGATGTGGCTCGGGCACATGCTGTTTCTGTGCCCTGGTTTCTGCTGCTCACGGGTAGATGTGGCATATCCCAGGGATGACACGTTCAGGACCAGAACTGAAGCACATCCAAGAGAAATCACTTTCCTAGAACTGTCAGCATAACTTATTCTGACCCCACAAATAGATGACTTTTAGATATACTCTAAAATATCATAGTCCTGCAGAAGCTTTAACGTGTCTTGCTCAGTTTAGAGGCAACTCTGAGGCTTCCCCACATTGACTGAAAAATAATTTGTGGGTTTTCTGATTCCAGGTTCTCCCGCCAATGGCCATCAGCCCTTGAGGTCTCTGCCTTCGGTACGTCAGGATGTTAGCCGGTACCAGAGAGTGGATGAGGCTCTACCACCAAGTGAGGTTCTTCATACTTTAATTGGGGGATAAGCTGCCTGGATCTCATTACTGAGATCTCCTTGCATTTCTTTTTTAAATGTGACAACTGAGAATGAACAGCTCAGGAGTTCAAAGTGAGGAGTGATGATGATTAAGTCTAATGCTGTTATTTTAAAAGGCATTGTGCTCAGTCTGCAAACTCTCAGGATATGTTATGATAATCCCACCTGGTGTATACAGACTTGCCTGTGGAGAAGTAGGAAGGCACTGTGCTGCCTTTTTGGTATGCAGTGCACAAGGGTAGGGAGGTGAAGTGATACACTTCATGAGGCACAGGAAGGTGTCAAGCACCCTGAAATCTCTGAATACTTGTATGGTAATGATTTACAAAGAAATATATAACATCTTTAATTGCTGCAGATTATGCATTTTTTGAGGCAGTGTGAAGATCTTATATTAAAATAAACCGAGATATTAAGCAACAGTTAGATGAGCCTAAATGAACATAAAAGTTGTAATTTCTCTAATGCATATGAAAAATACAGTGCTCTCAATTATTGGACTGATTCACTTACTTAAACTTTGGGCAGTGGAAATCTATTCAGTATTAGGTATTTAAAGAAAGGACCTCCCAAAAAGGCTACACAGCTAATAGAAAAGCATTGCATCAAAGCAAAAAACGCCAAAGAAAGTTAAATTCAGACCCACTGAAATCTGTGGCAAAGCTCTGTTACTTTAAAGGAGTCATGAATTCAGATATTTAGGAAAAAATGAATAGATCCCTATTTCCCAGTATGGTATGGGACTGTGTTTGCTCTGTAATTGGAGCGAGTAACTGGAAGGAGCTTAATAGCAGAACACAGATATAACTGTGTGTGGAAAGCCAGGATGATGATAAGGTTGTACTCCCTGCTGCTTCTGTTATAATCAGTGCTAACAGATGTGCTGACAGACTAACAAATTAGTCCTGCGTGTTAGTAGTTAATTAACTACCACCTCAGTACACAAATCTTACCTTTTACAAAAGTGTATCTGGGAGCTGTGTATTTCAGTTGCACTTTTTATCACTTTTCATACTGAGAAAGACAGAGACCATTACAGGAAATAAATAGTCAGTGATCGGTGTAGTGAGAAATACACAGTTCTGTGGTTTATACAAAGATGACTTTTTGTGTTTCAGAAGCAAACTGCACACTACAATAACTACTTGGAAAAACTGTTGGAATATTAATGGAAAAGGTTTGGCTGGGATTTTACAATCATACATGGGCATGCATGTACCCATTGCCCCTTTACAGTCAAAGCCCAATGCAGTCTCTATGCAAACTATTTGTTTGCTGATATGAATAAAATCTTAAATACTAATTGTTGCCTAGATTGAGTTTTTCTCTCCAAAGCTCTGCTTTCAGATATGTCACAGTTTTAATATTTAAATAATGAAAAATTAGAGAAAACATTGAGAATCCAGTTTTGGTTATAAACTGTAATTTCTTTGTAATTTGGGTTGCATTCTATTTGCTTCACCAGAATTTGAAAATAAGAAAGGAAAATAGGTGAATTTCTTCCAGTTGAGTGTAGGTTAAGTTAAAGAACAAGTGAAAGAATTAAAATATTTATCTTATATTTGTGCCTATAACATGCAATGACATGCTCCAATTCCTTCATTCCTAGGGAAAAATTAACAAAGCTTGACCATGAAACCTTGAGCAATTACAATTTTGCAGTTCCACAAGTAATTTGTAACACATGTGACTAACAGTGACTTGACTAAAAGAAGATATCCTTGTCCATCATAACACTAATGCAGATGCTTTACTTTGGAAACCATTGCCCAAGTGTTTAAACTTGTGTATTTAAAACTGAATGCAGGCAAAAATGTTTTTCTTCTGCAAGACTATGTTACAGAAATGGTGACTGTGTAAGAATTGGACATAAACACCACAAAAATCTCAACTCATTATACAGTGGTTTAGGGTTTGACATTTAAGCAGGATAATGAATTCACAAATTTAAACTGTTTGAGGTTTTTTTTTTGTTTTGTTTTGGTGTGTTTTTTTCCCCAGTGGACAATTCTGTTCTTCCTGGAATACTTCAATGTTTTGTTTTGTTTACAAACTCTGGTTAAAAATTTCAAGTATCAGCAGATACTACTTTTTTTTTTTTTTATTGGACTTTTGCACAGGAGCATCTGTTTCAATAATTTTTCTCTGTTTAAAAAAATGAAAACATTTTTCAGAAAAGGTTGAAATGCTTGTTTGCTTTTTTGCGATATAAATGAAATTATTTTTTAAATAGCTTTCAAATGTGTTAAATACCTTTTATACATAGCTCTGTTCACACTGGAAATGCTGTGAACACCAATATGCTGTTTTGATTATGCATCATAAAGATAGCAGAGTAATTTGCACTGTGGCCAGTGAAATCACACAGCTCTTGTGCAGAGGAGACACAATGAGTTTGTCTGAAAACCTGCCTCTCCTCCCTCCTGGTGAGCCAGATCAGCCCCCACAGTGCAGTGCAGCCATTTGTCTGCCTCCAAGAGTTGAAAAAAGGTATAGCACACATGCAGTAGCAAAGCCTGAGGTTTTAAGGCTGTCAGTATTAAATATAATGTAGTAGAATTTACTTCTTCTCTGTTGTCAAGACATTTTTATACCCTCTTTCCTCACGGGGTGGCAATCATTTAGGATTGGTTGCTTGTCAGTGGTTTTTAAAACGTTATTGCAGTGACTGATGTTTTCACCTAGACTTGCAGTATAGAAAGTCTCATCTAGAAACCTTCTGAGTTCTCCAAGACTCTTTTTCAACTGATGTGCTAAATGGTTTGCATGTTTTCTGATTTTGCTGGTATCCAAGAATCAGGCATGTCTATTTCCATATAGATACTTATTTTTTTATATATATATTTTTTATTATTATTATTACATGGCCCCCAGTTATGATCAGTATCTTGATTTCTTGCTCATTTTATCAGCAGTTATTAGGCAGAGAGTGCTCCTGACCCAAAAAGGCTATGGACTCAGGCCTAGGTGTGGTGATACACCTGGTTTCTGCTGTGACTGGGGAAAGGTCCCAGTGCCTTCCTCTCTGCTCTCCCAGGATGTCACCATGATGCAGACTTCTAACACTGTCTGCAGCTTCTTTTGCAAAACCAGTGGGCAGCATTACAGTTACACAAGAAGTATGAATTTTCTATGGTATTTGCATAATTGGCAATTCTGGAACATGCATTTCATATGTGAAGGAGTTTTATAATTGTCCATCTTTTCTGGCAGGAGGACTGGCATCTGTTTTATTACTGTTACTGTTACCTGGGGGAAAAACAATGGCAGGTGTCAAGCTTTGCAAGGTTTTTGGTACTTACCCATAGGCCTTTTGCACTGGAATAAGCCTCAGAGATTGGATCTTGAGTTACTTCAGTCTGGGAGAATTACTGAGTATCCAGATGTTTTGTTGGGGGTTTTTTTTGTTGTTGTTTGTTGTTTGTTTTTTTGTTTGTTCTTTATTCTTGGACAGTTACTGGTTAGTGGGAAATAAAATAGAGACAGGAATAAGAATTTTTAGATATGGATTCCACAGAACCTTACCTACAGTGGGGAATTTAATTTATGGGATTAATTATGGAAAAGCTGTCTCTCTTAAACATTCAGTAAGAAGGTTCAGTGTCGAAGTCATCCTGTAAAAGAGAAATAGAAACTTGAAACTTGAAACAATAGATTTGGTTACAAAAGCAACAGAGCTAAAATAAAGAACTAAATAAACTCCAAGCCCTCCATAGCTTACAGCATTTTATTGCTCCTTAGACTGGGAGGCTCGAATTGACAGCCACGGACGGATTTTTTACGTGGACCACGTGAACAGGACAACGACATGGCAGCGACCCACAGCCCCCCCAGCCCCCCAGATTCTCCAGAGGTCAAATTCCATACAGCAGATGGAACAGCTGAATCGCCGGTAAGAACCGCCCTTGTGGTTTGTGAATTTAGTGTGCTTGCAGAGCTGCACTCACCACTGCAACACCGAGCACGGAGACGAGGGCACAGTTGCTACCGCAGCTGGTCTTACGTGTTTATTTTTATGTGGCTGTTGCTTTTAGTTTGCAGGTGGGCTTCTAGGACTTTTGTATTCCACCTGTGGTCTTAAGCTGTGTGGCTAAATAAAATACATCTGATAATGCTTTGCAGAAATTCAAAAGGAGACATTAGAAATGGAGAAGTTAGAGGTCTATACATTGACCTATGCGGCGGAAAAGATGGACAGGCTCCCTTGGAGCCAAAATTGGGTCATAGTTACCATATACTATATATAAAGTCCAGTTTTCCAACCCTAGGTACCAGAGCATCCGAAGAACAATGACTAATGAAAGGCCTGAAGAGCATACAAATGCTGTGGATGGAGCTACAGAGGAAGCTGACTTTCACCATTCTAATGCAGGTTAAAAAAACCCTAAATATTTTTTTCCCTTTTCTAAAGAAGGGAACACTCATAAATGACATAAAGCATCTTTCACTTTTTAGTGGAAGTGACATAAGGCAGAACCTAACTTCTACCTCTGAAAGTCTGGGTGAAAATGAAGGCATTTGTTTTCATTGTTGTCTAGTTTTGAAGGTTATGGCTCAACCTGTTCAATGTGCTGAGGAGATGACTGTGAGATTCAGAGCATCTTTCTGTCAGTACCGGACTGGTTAAAAACCCAGCATTTTTGCAGTGAAAAAGTATAAAATTCTTTGGTCTGGCTTAAAAATATTCTGCAGTTTCAATTAGTAGAATATAGGACTAGAAAGGACTTTAAGCAGTCGTTGACTTCATCTCCGTGCTGTAGATAGGTAGAATGAGCTGTACATGTGCTATACCTGGCAAATGCTGTCTCGTGTTCTTGTAACATGTTCTCCAGTTGATGGACATTCTTTAACTTTTTTAGACAGTCTACTCATATTGTTTCCCTTATAACATATCCTTAAATCTGTTATTTCTAGTCTTTCCTGACTTGTGTTTTTAGGTCTCAGATTATTTTGTTTGCCTACTCAGGATTGTCTTGAGTTGGTCTTCAGCTTCTGAGAAGTATTTCAGAAAATCAAATAAAGCTACAATTCTGCTTACTGAAGAGGCTATGGAAATGTCACATCTTACATAAAATACTTCTTGTACATTCCTGCATAATCATTACTTTTCTTTTTGATAGTTTGACACTAACCACTACTGTTCAGTCCTTGTTCTGCTAAAATTGGGTCCAGATTCTTGTGTGCAGAACTTTGGCACAGATGCCTGTTTTTCATCTGGTGTTTGTGCAGTTGATTCCCCCTACCTGCACACAAGTCTTTGTCCTTTCCTAATGTGCTGCTATAGTTTTGAATTTTGTCCATCCTGCTGTCAAAGTACTGCAGCATCTTCTAATTGGGGCAAGTTCTGTCCACCCTATGCAGTCATTGGTAGAAATAATAAATAGGACCAGACCCAGACAGATTTTGGTGAAACATCACTAAGTGTACCCTTACAACATTTATCCCTTTCCTTCTGAGAACTCCTTCTGACCTCCAAAAGGGCCACCAATGTCTCGGCGATGGCTTCATGTAGAGTCCTGACTATTAGAGTGCATTTCTCCAGGCCTGAGACCTCAGTTTGCACCACTGTCTTTAACCTGCTTTTTATCTATTCTAGCCTAAAAAGAAAACTCTTTCACTTCCCTTTTTTTTTTGTGTTCTTCTGATTGCCTGGCCAGACCTTTTGATTAAAGATAGAAAGAAAGATGGTTTTTAGTGATTTCTAAGCATCATTACTAGTTTTTCCTTTCACTCAGCAGTTCTCTCCATAGTCATCTTCCTACTAATACAATTTTAAAGTTTGTTACCCATCCAGTCTCTTGTGTAGCTGTGTGGTGTCATGTGCTTTGGCTTTGTCTCTGGTTGCTCTTGGTATTCTCTTATAATACTCTCTCCTAAATTAGTCTGATATGCAACCAGTGTCACCCTTCCTTGAGTTTCAAGTCATTGTTGAACTTGAGATTTAGCCAAGTGCTCCCTTTTATTACTTGTATTCTTTACTTCTGTCGTAGCTTTTTCCTTTTCTATCTTTGTGCACGTGCATGTGCAGCCAGATGGTTTGTTGTGCTGTAAACTCAACAGTTTACAGCAATTCAGTTTACAGTAAATTCAGGCCAAACCAGCAAGTTCGGCTGAATAAGCTTTTCATAAACCAAATTCACAAGCCCCTAAACTTCACTAATGGGTCACCTGGCGACCCATTCTGGTTTCTAGATTACCCAGACTACGACAGAGGACCTATCTGCAGTGTGTCACAGCATCTTCCAGGTTGTGGGAGTTGACTGGTGTACAACCAGGTTTTGTACCAGTACAGAGTTGACATGTAACCACAGTGAGGACTGGAAGACACTCCCAGCCCAAGTATTCAGGCAGAGCTTCTGGAGCCTTTGTGCTGTTCTGCTTTCGCCATTGACATGCCTCATGTGGGACAGCTTGAGGTCTATTGTTGGAGAAGTGTCTCTAAAAATCTTCTTTTTCATTTGTTTAACCTATTACCCTTCCACTTTCTGGCTCCATCTAATGCTTAGAATTAATATCTTTATTTTCCCTATTCCTTTTTTTCCATGTTTACGCATCCATATTTAGAACTTTACACTGTCTTTGTTATTTTCCTCTTCTTTTGTAATTTCTTCTTACTTTTTCCTCAGTTTACAGTCTCATTCATTGCTTGCTCTGCTTGTGGATTATGATCTTTTCTATTTATGATAGCTGTATTCTACATGATTCATGTTCATTTGAGGGGAAAGTGTGTGAATACTGCAATGTGTAAAAGAAAGAAACTCTGAAATGTAGATGGCAGCACACATTTTAGTGTAAAATCACTGCAGACCCAGACTGAACCTAAAAATGCATATCAAAATATGCATCCAAATATCCTGTTCATTTTCGAAGGTAATTGGCAGGAACAGTTTTGATGTTGTAGCAAACACCACTCATGATATATTTTCAGTTCCTGGTACTTTATAAAAATCAGTGCACTTCTGCAGTTGCTAGGAGAAGACACAAATGTTTACTGAAAGTTGAAACTTGAAAGGTACTTCCTTGGCAACCTGCTTCTTACTTACATAAGCTGCTTAAATACTGTGTCAGGATTGGGGCTGTGTTAATGGCAGTGATTTATTGTTTGTTTTCTTTTCTTTTTTTTTTTTAAAGAAGGAATGAAACATTTTTAAGTGTACAATGACTTTTATATCCATTAGTTAGCATTTAAAAGATAAGTTACCTGCATACAGCTGCAGTATAGCAATGCAGGCATGGCTCAGGGACCTTCTTGCATCTTATACACAGGTACATACTTGATAACCCAAATAATTGGATGTGATTTTTTAAAAAAATGATTGTTCACCAAAAGCAGCAAGTAAAAGTTGCTAAACTAAATCTGTAATATTTTCAGAAACTTCAGTGCTATGTTAGAAGAAATTCAGGTACACTTAGGGGGAGAATACTCAGTAAATCTGAAATAGTTGGGTACTTAGTGCTTTTCTTGCCTGTGTGATTTTAATCAATATAGTTGTTTGCAGTGATGCTTTGGTAATAATTACTGGATGTCTTTGTCATTTACTTTGCTGTTAGATTTTCGAAGAGAGAATGTGCTGCCTCACTCTACCTCCAGATCCAGACTTACTTTATTGCTCCAGTCTCCCCCTGTGAAATTCCTCATCAGCCCAGAGTTCTTTACAGTGCTGCATTCTAACCCTGTAAGTATGGTAGCTAAAGCTAAAAAGCTTCCATAAATACATGCTTATAAATACAGTTGCTTTGTGTATAAAGATATTGCTCAATGTTTGATGATAATATATTGGTAGTACACGGAGAGGCCGAATAAATTCACTTGCAATTGTTGGGCTATCAGAGCCATCCTAGCTCTGCATTATAGCAGTTTTTATTTTTCACTCAATTCTTCATCTTTCTCATAATACAAAAGTAATTTGTTTATTGAAGCAGTAGCTTCTTACTGTGCTTTGCAGAGGGTGAGACACAATTCTGAGAATGAACTTGCTGCTTATGAGATGGCGTGTTTCCCCCAGATTGCTTGGTTTATATCAAAATATATTAGAGGTCACACTGAACTAAAAAATATCTTAATGTCTATCTTCCTTTTCCTTTTTTTGCCTGTTCTTCATTGCTTCTTTTTATATACATTTGTTCCCCAATGTTTCTTTGTGTAACAGCATTTAGAGTGTAAACAGAAGTAATGGAATTAATAACTTCTTATTTGCAAGGACACTTGTCAATAATTCAGTGTTTTTTAAATTACTGGTCAGTATTAGTTTGGTTTTGATATATATATGTATGCCTGTCTGTGTATGAATGATCCTGCTTAGCTTGCATAACTTTTTCTTGAATATATGAAGTAGGCAGAAGTAGAGGAGACCTTTGGCCAGGGAATAGAGGTGTAGAGGTACAGTGTGATTTAGGAGGGCCTGTGTCTTCTGTCCACTGCTGATCTTGGCAGAAAGGCTTGGTTTCTCATTGGCTGGGGTTTTGGGAGAGAAGGGTGTTAACTGTTTATTTTACCTCTTTTATTTAAAGTTTTCCCTATTCCTTAGTGCTCTCCTTATACTCCCCTATTTTAATTTTATTCCATAAATTATACATGCATGCAATGTATGGAGTGCATGCAATGATAGGAGTATTATTGTGAAAAATCAATAGGTGGAGACAATATTTATGTAGATTTGTGATAAGTTTCACAAGCTTATGTATCTCTGTTCTGCTGAAAACCTTACCAGCTTTATTGCTGTATTCTATGGCTATATTTGACTCATTATTCCAGAAATTGGAAAACACTTCTGAGTAAATAATTGCTTTTAAAGCAGTTGTAATGTTACAGGATTCTTCACAGCTCCAGGGACAAGTGTGGTAAATGCGATCTCCAATGTATTTCACACTTCACTGAAGTGAGTAAGTTTTGTAATTTTGGGTGTCTCAAGTGAAATAACAAACTTTAAACACCTACCCCAAAACCTAAGAAAGAGAACCACTGTTTTTCATACCGCTGCGGCTTAGCTGTAGATAATTCGTTAACGTTTCATAGATGATTAGATGGTTAATTTACTGTGAAGGGCTGTCTTTTGTGGTGAGGGAAGTTTTACCTTTTACAAGTATTTCCTGTTGTTGTTTTGCAGAGTGCCTACCGCATGTTTACAAATAACACGTGTTTGAAGCACATGATCACCAAAGTCCGGCGGGACACCCACCATTTCGAGCGCTACCAGCATAATCGTGACTTGGTGGGATTCCTCAACATGTTTGCTAACAAACAGCTGGAGCTGCCCAGAGGTTGGGAAATGAAACACGACCATCAGGGCAAGGTAACTGTGTGATGCCAAGTGAGGTCTTGTGTCCATCAGTTTCTGAGGTAAAATGGGTGCCCTTGAGATAAAATGGATGGTCTGGGATAGCTCTGGGGGTGATCACTCTATTGGTTATGTTGGTTATATATGTTGGATAACTCTGTTGGTTAACTGGAAAGACATGGTATGTAGTAGGTTTTGTTAGTAGGGATTAGGGATCTTAAATAGTTGCCAGTCTCACTGCTTTTTTTTTTAAACAGGTATCAATTCTCAATTTCTAAAAAAATATTTTGAAATCAAAGAACAGTAGTAGAATGTAGTAGAATATAATTTTAATGTAACTTTATGCTACTGCATCCTCAGTATGTAGAATATTATATTTTTTTAGGAGGGTTAAAAATAGACTGTGATTAGCATGTGAGCAAGTGATAAGGCTTATCAGTTCATGTGAGAAGTCCCAATTAGGACTATTGGCATATAAAGCTTCTTGGTTTTCATGTTTATCACTCTTAGTACTCTTAGCTCTGAGGGTCCATATAAGATTATGGAAAGATTACAGACAAATTCTTAACTGAAGGGTAGAAGAAGTGCTTGAGGGTTGTTTGTTTTTTTTTTTTAACTTTGGATAGCATTTTAGTTTTTTGTTTGACACACAATTGCAAATGAGCAATTACAGTAAAGTTGTTCTTTGCCTTACTGTTTTCTGATTTAAGTCATTCTTGTGCTGTTCACTTCTTCAGAGGCCAGTTTTCTCCTGAAGAATATAGCAATTTTCACTTTAATAAGCACCATGGAGAGATTTAGACCTTTGGATTTCTGGTGTGGTATTTGGTAACAGCAGTACTACCACAACATTAATCAAAAAGAGGAAGCACTGAACAAATTCCCACTAGGATTTCTTCACTTTGAATTAGGCTCATCATTGCTCGTTTTCATTATGTAGAATTGCCTTTGTCATGAGTACCACTTGTGGCCAGTAGAAAAGCCTATTCAGCACTCGAGAGAGATGATGGTCAATACATGGTGAGACCACTGCTTGGTGAGACCAAACTGAAACTGGACCTGCCTTTATTAAAGTATTAACCTAAAGAGAAGCAAGTAGCAATTAGCCATACCATAATATATAGTTACATTTCCTTTCCCTGACTACTCGTTCCTGCCGAGATAAAGTTTTCCTTTTTTTTTTCAAGTGTATCATAGTAAGAGGCTTGGTGCTCTTGCTCACAAGGCACAGTGATGGCTCTGGCTATTGTGCAGTGCAGAGTAGTAGAGTTTTTTTCACTCCTAATGTCAGTGTGGTCCTGGTTGCTTTGTCCTCTTTGCAGGCTGCCTTCCAAGGTCAGCTGGGGACTCCCCACCTCTGAACTCCCTTCAGAGCTGCACAGCAAAGCCCAGTTGCCTGCTCCCCTTTGACTCCTCTACAGGAGATAGCATCCATTTGGCATGCAGTTCTCCCTAAAATTAGGTCTGGTGTGACTAGCATGTAGTGTCTGATGGGCATTACAGACGAACCTTCATCAGTCACTGACCACAGGGAGGCAAAAGGCTGCTGGAAAAGGTGGCAGGAGGAGGCATCATACAGGCTAAATAGGTCCCTGAGCTGCACTCAGTCTGATAACTTCAAAATTCTGCCTTGCTGCATCCATGTGCACACGCACAGGCATTGCACAAATACACATCCCAGTGCATTTCTGGAATATGTGTAAGCACATATCTGTATTTTAAAGACAGATGCAAGTGTATATACTTTTTGGTTAGACCTCTGTAAGATGTGCAAATACATAAGAAGTTATTGGAGGGTGTTTCTGTTTTTTCTTTCTACAGTTAAAGAATCTGTAGTAATTGATTACTGATGTCTTCAATAGGAAGAAAAGCTTTTTTAGCAAACTTCTTAGACTTTACTGTAAGGATAAGTAGGGCAACTATCCATGTTTGATGGGCTAAATATAGTTTTGGCACTACCTATCTTATGTCAGTCACTTCAAGCATTGTAGATTTATGGATTATAGCTAGGCAGGAGTTATGAGAGGAATTTTTTTGAAAGGAGACTGAACCACACTGTATTTTGAGCTGTGTGCCAATGTCCAGAATAGCCTGAAGCCTTGAAGCTCCAGTGGTTATCTTCACTGAAGCTTCAAAGTGGTAATTTATGCTTTATTTTAAAATAGGCTACTACTAGCTGGCCTGCAACCATTCATATTTAATAAGACATTATAGTCTTTAACTTCATGTTCAACTGAGTTGTTTATTTAAATATAATGCAAAGGAACACTGCATGCAAGTACTAGAGTGCTGCATTAACTCAAAGAACTGTGTAGTGCAACTCTAGGTGGTACCTCCTCCTATATCGAATCAGTATTGTTTTTACAAGTCATTTTTCAGTGTGATGTTGACTTAATGAAATCAACCTTTGTTTTGATGAAAGTGCTTCACTTATAAAAGTACACAGACAGACTAGGTAAAATAGTTGCTAGAAGGATATTAAAAAGAAACCCCAAACCCTATACCAATCACTTGCTAGGAAGGTAAATAAACTATCAGTCAGGAGATAAATTTCAGAAAGACTGGGTATGTTCTAGCAGTCTCAGTCATTTTCCAGGCCACAAACATAAATTTCATGACGGTTTTCATTCTGCTTTCAGACTGGTTTCATAATCTCTAATCTGTTGCACTGGCACTGTAGGTGCCTTGATTGTTTTTCGAGGTAAAAAAGTCCTGCATCAAGCTCAAATGTTGCAATTAAAATTGTATTTATTGAATGTATTTTAGAGTGTTTGAACTGTGAAACTTTTGGTTTTACTTACGTGTCTCTGACTGTGTCAGATGGTCAGAATGGAGTTCTTCCTTACTGCTTAAGTGATGTGATTCCTTCCTTTTAGGCACATATTACAGGTACAGGCGATTGCTATTAGGGATGTAGGAGGCTTGCTGCTCTCTTCTGGAGCATTTTTAGGGTTTTGAAACTGTGGTGTCCCTACATATGCTTCTCCTTCCTCGGGAAATGGAAGTATGAACATTTTCTCTCACTGCAATCTATAGTGGCATTTAGTTGCTGTATAGCATGACACACTGGTTTGTCTATCTACCTTCATAGAAGTCAGAAGAATTGCATTTTCTCTGATCTGGCTACACCAAGCAGTCTGAAGCAATGATTTCATGAATACTAGAAGCTGGTGTTGCTGCCAGAAGAGCTGGTTCTGCTCTGCTCTCACCCCTGGTGAGCTGACCGAGGTTAGAGGAGCCAGCAGGGAGAGGGACAAAAAGAGTAACTTTAGCCTGGACCAGCTCCCCAGCTGGGTTCACTGCATGACCACACAAACACTTGTGCCAGCACAAGGCAGGAAGGGCACACAGGGGATGAAACAAGTGGTCAGGAGGGGGAAAGATGAGAATCTTTGTTTTTGCTGACAGCGCAGGACTAAATTGCTTGTGAAACTGTGGTTGAGGTACCTCACTGGTAGCCAAGCACAGAAATGGCTCCCGCAGTCCCTGACCACCTCTCTGCTGGGCCAGATTCTTTGAGTCCTCAAACCAGATGTCACTTTCCTGTAATTGTCCTGCTCAAGACCAAGATCTTTTTTTTTGCCACTTCCACGTTTCCCACATTGTGACTGAAAACATGAAGTGTGTTGAAATAGAACAGTGCTGGCTTCCAAGTGCAACACTAACACTGCAAAAAGTTTAAATTTCAGGGCTTAAAAACCTTTCTTGGTTCAAATCGGACAGAATTGTAAGAGGTTTTCATTTTACAGGATACATGTTTCTGTGACCTTGTTTTCAGCAAGTGGTTGACTGACCAATCTGTGGTAGTTCTCATCAATTGCCTGATGTAAATATTTTTATTGCCATCATCCTTGTGTCCTTGATTGAACTTTCTTTTTAGTTTTGAGGGGTCTTTTTCTTTTGTTTGGGGTGGTGCTTTAGGGTTTTTTTGGGGTTTGTTGGTTTTTGTTGTTTTCCTTTTTTTTAAAAAAAAGGTTAATGAACTTAGAATAATTATATCAGGAAGATGGAAAAAATGCTTATTGGCCTGTAATCATGGTTCATTACAGGATGCAGGCATACACTTGACATATATACACCCAATTGTGTTGGTAATTATATGGTAGATACGTCACAAAAGGGAATGGGTTTGCCACTTAATAACATATTTTTAGATGCTTATAAGGAAATGAAAGGAGAATACACCAGGATTACTTTTATTAAACATTCAAATCTTCTCTTCTTGACACTCACAATAAAGCTTCCCACTTCTAATGCTTGTCAGATGAGAATTTCAAAGGACTTTATAGACATGAATGAAGTAAGGCATTAAACAATTCATCCCTTCAAGTGAGGTGGAAAACTGTTATCCCCCTTCTGCTGAAGGGAAATGCAAACCCCAGTAACACGAGGAAGATGTTCCAGAGCCTCACGTCAGTGAATGAAACATAGATCCCGCACAGGCATTAACTTCAGGCATAATTAAAAAAAAAATAAAAAAGTACTGGCTATAAATTCTTTCTCCTTTCACCTTCTCCAGGCTTTCTTTGTTGACCACAATTCCCGCACCACGACGTTCATCGACCCCCGGCTCCCCTTGCAGAGTAGCAGGCCCACTAGTGCGTTAGTCCATCGGCAGCACTTAACCAGACAACGCAGCCACAGTGCTGGTGAGGTAAGCTGCACTCGTGCCTTCTCTTTGGGAACCACCGGGTGTTTAAGATCATCCTCTTTCACAGTGTTCCACTCACAATTCCATCTTGTGAGGGGCATGATTCTTCTGTAAGTGTACAGTAGTCATCCATAAAGATCTATTATTTTGTCTGCTAGCCACTGTTGCTTTTAAAATGTATGTATTCAGAGGAAAAATACCAAACATGAGCTTCTCCTGCTTTTAATTCGCAGTAACCCCATTTAACCACAGGAGAGCATCTGATTACAGATTACCAGTACCTATAGCCTGTCTTTCACTGACAAAATGTGTATTGTTGTCTAGCATGGTGTCTGCCAATTATATTGATATATAAGTCTGCAAATAAGAGAGGGGAAAAGATGCATATGTGACTATACATCTAGTTGTGCAACTTTCCAAATAAGTATAAAAACATCTTACCACATACAGGCTTATCAGACTGTTATATGCACTGGCATAGGTATTTCATCTCTACTTTCTGATCAGAAATAAAAGGAAACCACTATTTTGTTGATATGTCACTGTGGAAAATTTTCAGCAGCAGTCTCCATAGTTTTGTTTTCACTTCTTTTTACTTGTGGCCTTGAAGATGTGCAATGACTTGGACTTCGCTTGTACTTTATTTAACCTCTGTACTGTTAGCTGTAAGTTGTCTTTTCAGGGGAGGGCTATTCCATGCCAGGAGTTAAAGATAATAAAATTCAGAATAGCAAGAGAAGTGCTCTGATTTATCCTTTTTATAGCTCAGTCTTGTGGTAGATGAGGTTCTGCCAGACGTGTGTTTCAGAGCAGACATGAATCTTCTTGACCACTTTTCTAAGAAGGCTTCCACTGAGCTGCAGTGAGTGCCATACCACTGGCTGCAGATCTTGTCATATCCTGTGTGAACAGGCTTTAGTCCCCCCCCCCCCCAATGTCAGGTATAATTTTAAAAAGGTATTAAATAGCTTTTTTCATCAATTTGGTGATGTCATGTAGCAGGCAAGGAAGCTAGAAGTGTCTTCACATAGCTATTTAGATCTTCAGTAGGGTAAAGCAAGTATTTCTTGTGATTGATTGATTTGTAACAGAGCAGAAATATTTTTTTCTTCACTTTACTCAATATGTACCGAAATTATCTTCCTTTCAGCAGCATTCAGTAGCTCTGCACTTAAAACAGATCTTTGTGCCAACCGTGCTGCTGAAGTTGTCAATGCTGCAAAATAAGTGTAGTTTATCCTACAGGAAATCATCATATATATTGCATATACATAGTGCTGATCACCTGTCAAAATTTCCCACTCCATCTAGATACATGAAAAACCTTGAACCACGTATCTGTGTGTATAGAAGTGTTTCCTTGACATTGTTACAGGTGTAACTTGAATTGAGGTATAATTCCAGATAGGAATGTCAAACACAGCAATTCAATGCAGTATTCCCATTCTGGGATTAATGATGCCATGATTTCTTTTTGTATGCATATGTATGAATCTGAACAGCAGTTTTTCCTCTGTGCTTACAACTTAAGTATATATTTGCATATTTTTTCTGTTTTTAAACTATTGCATAAAGGAACTGTACATTATTGCAAAAGATGAATACTTAATGAAAAAAAATTATCGAAATGCTTTCTTTGGATTTGTCTTGTCGTGAACTTTGATGTTTTGAAGCCACTGACCCAGTTTTTACAGGGAGATGCTCTAAAGCAAACATGAACCAGTATAAGGAATGCCTTTTTAGCTAAAGCTCAACTGCAGTGTGAAACCAGAGCTAATAATAATGGCATTCCTTTTCCAGCACATTGCCTAACAGGAAATAATTTTTCATTTTTCTGAAAGAGTATTATCAGAGAGCACAAAGGTTTTGGGAGATATCTCAGGACATTTGCTTCTTCATGATTTAAGAGACTGGATTTAAAAGCAACCTTTATAATTATTTGATCTTTTGCAGTTAGATGTTTTAGAGATCTTTGAAACTTGGAAGTGTAGTTCAAATGCTAACTATTACATGTAGGAAGATAAACTGAGAAGTAAACATAAAAGTCCAGCAGGATGAAAAAGAGCTTGACCAAATGTTTTAGACAGATAAACTACCAAATCCTGACACCGTAGAAATGAGTGAAACCTCATCATGCAGTAAACTGCAGCAGTTGCCCTGACATCACAAATGCCACTAACAATTTTATTTTGTGGCTTTACCCTAAAAATAGTTCATATACAACATTTTTCAATCCCAGAATGTGAATACAAAAAACCATCAGAATAGTTTTACTGAATGATTCTAGGAACCGTGTTTTTACCAATTTTGGACTTGTTTGCCTTGCCTGAATGTGAACTCACTTCTTTATCCTCCTGCTTCAGCCACAAACTTGTTTTTACTTCAAATTTAGGGAAACTGCATTCATGCCCAGAGGTAAGAGAAATGCTAATGGAGGAGTAGAATTTGACATAATAGAGGTGCTAATGAAGAAGCAGAATTTGATTTCCAGGGCATTTGGTATGGATAAAGTTGTCCATGAATTACAAAAGACCCTCTGAAGGAATCCCAGTTTTAATTCTTTTGGTCCCTTTTCAGAATTGGCCTATTTAAAAATAGCAATAAACTTTGCATCAGTTTTGATTCTTCCTGCTAACGGGCCCAGTATACTAAATAATGTTTTACTGATAACTGTCATAGCTACTCCCTAACAGCACAGCTACTCCTGCTGCAGTGGTTACTGGGGGCAGTGATCAAACAAAGCCTTTACTTACATGCTTGGTTTTAAGCCACATAAATTCTCACTTTTATGCTGGCACAGAGACACTCACTGTGGTTACTTGCACATTTGCAGGTCGGAGAGGACTCCCGTCATTCGGGACCACCCGTTTTGCCAAGACCGTCTAGCACGTTTAATACAGTCAGCAGAGCTCAGTACCAGGATGTGGTTCCAGTGGGTATGTCACCATAAAGCCTCTTCTCAGAGATGTTCTCTGTGGCTGAGGGTGTCACATCAGTGTGCACTGCTGGGTTTTTCATTTGTTGTGATTCTTCTGTCAATCAGCATCCCCCCCTTCAGGACTGAAAGTGTGCAGAACCATATAATTGATGTATGGTATCTTCCCAGCTTACTCTGTGTGCTGACAGGATGAGTTGAAGCCAGTGAGTCAAACTGGGGTCCTAATTGGACTCCATGCATTCCCAGTGATATTTTTTTTTTTTTTAGCTTCTGAGCATCTATTTTGGCAGGATTCCAGAAAGTGTTAATCAGCTTGGAATTATTCATTAGCTTAACTTCTGTTCTCAGTTACATACACACAAAGTTACTGACTTTTGTGCCACCACGTACAGAATTTAGCTTATTAAATCTAACAGCTGTCACATTGTGCTAAATCAAGATAAATTAATCCGATTGACTGGAACTGGCTCTTTGGACTGTGGCATGTTTACTTGAAAATCTCTGCCCATTTAAATCCTTCTCCTTGCCATAGCCATGGTGTGCATGCTCTGCAGGCTCAACTGTTAGTGAGGATTTGATATGGGTGTTTCTAATGACTGTTAATGTCTGAGCACAGATTTCAGTGCGGTGAAAATCAAGGTCCCTGCAATTTTATTCTAGCAATAAATATTCTGGTTTGACCTTAGCTAAGAGTATGAGTGATAAAATATAATAGAAATTGCTAACAGAGTCCTAGCTGTTAGCAGTGGAAAGGATATGTCCCAGTGAGATTTGGTTCATAATCAAGAAGTGTGTTTCTTAAATGACAGTAGAATTAGTAGCCTTATATAAAAAAGTATAAACACAATACTGATGAACTTAAAACTGTGAAAGTGAAGTCTGCTGTCATTATTGTTCAAAACTTAGAAGGAATTACATCCTTTGTTTTGGTATCTCCTTGCTTCAGCGTGATATTTCTGTTGATGTTTTCAGCTTACAATGACAAGATTGTTGCATTTTTGCGGCAGCCCAATATCTTTGAAATTCTACAAGAGCGTCAACCAGATCTTACCAGGAATCATTCACTCAGGTAAGAAAATTAGTGAAGTTAGCTATTCCCATTTCAATACGAAATGCTAATTACAATTAGGTACTTTCATTGAGATTAACAGTGGAACATAACAGATTGTAGACTACTTGAACATATCATAAGGCTGTGGGAAGAAGTTATTTACTATATTTCTGTGTAATGCTGTTTAATAAGGTTTAGGAGAGCAGAGGTAATGTGTTATTATCAAATAAAGGTACCTACAAGAAAATGTTTGGAACAGCTGGCATAAGAGATTTGCTGATGTCTTCAAAATGTGCCAAGACAGCTGGATGGCATGGCAAATGTGCCCGTTCATTTGGGTATGTGTACAGCTGGGAGCATGAGGCAGAATGGCATTTGGTTTTGTCCTTATCTTCTCAAAGCACATTTATAGAAAGGTTGTCCTGACCTAATGATGCTGGTGGTAATCTTAAATCAATCAAAATTTTTGGTGTCTATCCAAAATTTACAAAATGGGCATCTGCAGGTTTTTGCATAGTCCAAGAATATCTGATGAAGGCTGATTGATATTGATTGTTGTATAGTTGTTATAACTCCATCAGAGTTGTCACTCTTGGAAATGGAATCCCTGAAAACTTGGATATTAGTGACCAGGGCTGAAATTAATGTGTCTCTTCTTCCTTGGACCCTGAATCTAAAAAATGCTAGTTTGCTGGTGACAGTCTGTCCTGTGCAGAGAGCTGCCAGTGCAGTGCTCTGTGTTCCAGATGCCTGGCATGGCAGCCAGCACTGATTTTCATTTTTTTCCATTTTCAGTGTTACTTACTGATCCCTTTTTCTCCGTGTCCTGCAAGTTCTCAAAATTCAAGAAGCAGTTTCCTAAAGTCTTGTGTAAGAAGTTTTGTGATGTGGCTTCTTTGTTAAAGATTTGTTTTACCCTCTAAAGAAATTTAGTTTGATTCTTTTGTTGAAAGTGCTGTGCATGAAGTGATGTGTTCCAGAAATTCACATTGCAGCTTGAACTGTGTGCAGCTGCCAGCAGCTGTTATTACAATGCTGATTGCATGGAGCCTTTTGGACCTTCTTGTCACCATTAGTTATAGGATGGTGGGATAGACAAACCTCTGAGCTGAGCCAGTGCTGCTGTTCTTATGGGGAGTTCTTTACTTTTCTTCTTGTTTGGGGGTTTTCTCCTTTGGATTTGGGACAGGTTTTTACCACATGGGTTTCTTTTTGTTTTCTTTTCCTCCAGAAGAGTAAAGCCAAATTAGAATTTATGTCTTCTGTACCATCATATGCCTTGTACTGATGAAAGAAAATAAGAGGGATGTACTTGTATTTCAGAATGCAGGAAAAATCTCTGCAGAGAAAAAGAACAGGAATCAAGCAAGGAGTTACGTTAAATATAGATCCTAAAATTCTCTGTGTTACCACACTCAAAATTTAGGATGCATGGATTCTACAACAGTGAGCACACTGGGTCTAGGAGGAAGGATGTGTACTTGGCAGAGAGAGGGGAGAAATACAGGATTTTTTTGGAAGATATCTTAAATGCAGTGTGGTACAAAACCCACACTTTTAAATTAAATCACAAGTATGCATTGTAATGTATGGCTTGCATTTGTACAAAGGTTCAGAAGAGACAGTGCCTCTTTAAACAGTTCACTTTCACAATAGAAATGTCCTCCCGCAGGGCTCTGCCTCCTACTTGGAATTCAGAGACATGGCTAGTGTGAACATGAAGGATCGAGTTCTCTTTTTTTTATTTTTATTTTTTTTCCTGGTCGGATGACTGTACTACCTGCAACAGCATGAGCATTGAAGAGATGAGAGCAACAGGAGAATTGTTCCTCAGAACAAGTTAGCTTTTTGGCTGTAATATTTTACTGCTCACATGGACATCGTGTGGCAGGGAAAAAAAATAGGGAAAAACATAATCCAGAGGTTTCTGATGTACTCTGTACTTTTTCTTGTCGCTGTGGTATACGCTGATGCCTTATTTGCAAAAGGTATTTTGGAAGGTTTTATTTTTGCTTGGGCAGGGAGAAGATCCAGTTCATCCGGACAGAGGGAACACCTGGGTTGGTGCGTTTATCCAGCGATGCAGACCTTGTCATGTTACTCAGGTAGGCACTGGTGCTTATGATGCATGTATGGAATTTGCCCTGGCAGCTGCTGAGGAGCCTTTCAATGAGCAGTGAGTGCTGATGTAGTGACCCAGTCATTTCCCCTTCAGTCCTTGGAGTTGCAGCTGGGAGAGCTACAGCTCAAGGGTCAGATTTTATTTACATCATATTCAGTTTCTTGATGGTATTTGGAGGTCACACTTTTTCATAGGAGTGATGGAACATGATATCCTGTCTGAGAAAAGGCAAGTGCAAGAGTACTGTGCTTGTGATTTATATGGGTTTGCCCAGACTACCTTTTATTGTCCTGTTGCATCCAGCTCTGCTTAGATAGCTGGTACAGTTTAGACCTCTTTTCAAGGATGTGCTTTCTACTACTTTTAGAATGCATCTGTTTAGTTCTGTGTTTTGGGAAATCCCTATTTGTAAAGGTCTGTACTTGAGACGTGTTTTTATTACTTAATATCTTGCTTACCTCTTCACTGTGCTGTCAAGAATTGTCCCCTTTAATAAAGGAAATACTGTTACAGATGTCACAAAATGGGAAGCTGCTTCTTTACTGTTTTTCATTTAAGCTACTAACTCAAAAAATCAGGCAGATTTTTTGCTAGAACTAAACCATTATATGTTGATGTTGTATTCTCATCCATTCCATCATGAAATTCACAGGTACCTTTAAAATTGAATCTAGTAAAATAGGATTGTTATTAGTAGTTGTATTTTGAGGTCAGGTTGCGTAATGACAATCCTTCCTGGTAGCTAAATCTCCAATTTAATTACAGCTATAAAAAAATCTCATTTTAAAAACATGCTTGAGCTTTTTAAAAACACAACTATTGTTTCTCAAAAAACTTTTAAGATTTTTATTTTTTATGTAACTTGGAGGAAAACTACACATGGTCTTGAACGTAAAAAGAACTGCTAGAACACACCCATTAAAAAAAAGAAAAAAATTAATGCAAAAAAATTTCTAGGTATTTGTTTGGTGAACAGGCTTAGTAAGAAACATCTTTTATTTGAACATATTTTTCATTAGTTGAGTTTGATAGTAAAAGGTGGGCTTGCAATTCCTTCTATAGCTCAATTTTTGAAAACATTTTTTACATGTTATCTCAGCAGTTTATTCTTATCTGTGTTGTGCCTAACATTCAATATACCCTTTGTACCAGATCCATTCTGATATTAGATATTCTGTGCCTTTTTGGATTTGCTTGTGTCAAATTTGGGAAAAGACTGAAATTTTAATATAAATACACAGACTCTCTGTACACAGATGCAGTGATTAGGCTGCAAATTGTATATCTTTTTTCTTGTAAAAAGTTGCGTAGCAATAACAGGTGAAGTATGAAATAACTTGAGCAGGCTAGATGTGCTACCTGTTTCAGCAACAGTGTTAGATTTAAGATAAAATGAAGAAATAACTTATGCTAACAAGCTTGCCATTCAATATGCTTAACAAGTTCAGATGTGATTCTTAATCCTGGGGGTTTAGAATATTTGTTTCTGTTCCTGCTCTTTGTGCAGTATTGAGGATATTTTTCCAGGATAGTGCAACTAAGGTTATTGACCCCTTAGTCAACAACAACAACAAAAGAGGGGGTCCCACAAATTGTAAAGGCTGATTAACTATATTTTAACCTTGAAAACAAATACCCCATTATGTATAACAGTGTCCCACAAAAGTAGCAATTACTGCTTTCCAGTACATTCAAGATCTGATTGAGGGAATGGCAATAAAATATTCTGTAGCACTCTTAAGTGTGCATGGTGGAAATAGGTGAGTGAATACCAAAGAAAGCAGGTTATTAACTAGGGATTTATTCCTAAAAAGTGAAAACTACCATTTATTCAAATGAACATATTGTTTCTTGTTTGCTCCTTTTTACCAGCTTGTTTGAGGAGGAGATAATGTCATATGTGCCGCCACATGCCTTACTTCATCCTAGTTATTGCCAGTCCCCAAGAGGCTCGCCGGTGTCTTCGCCTCAGAACTCTCCAGGTAAGTTGCTCAGGCAAGGCTTCTGCAGGGGCTCTGTGAACACATTTCTCATCCTTAATAAGACCAGTTCCAGCTCAGTAAAATCAGTAGCATGCTCTTGCTGCTTTCCCAGAAGTTGGAGAACAAAAACAATAGAAAATTTGTTTTACTATAACTTTTTATTTCCTTTAGAAATTGAAATTCCTGTGCAATGCCTTTCACCTCTCTGAAGATCCAAGTTCTGTTGCTCCAGCAACAACAAAGATTTAGTCTTATTTTTGAGCAAAGTCAACAAGTATGATTGCATTTGACTGTCAAACTTGAACCTTTGCCTTGGGCTCACAAGACACTTTGCTGGGGGTATTACAACTTCAGTGGTTATTTTGTTCTGACTTGTAAAACGTGCAAACTTGGTTTTGACTGATGCGAAACAACTAAGTGACTGCTCATGCCAGTATCGTGATGCCTGGAGAATTAAAAACATGGATCTAATAACTGTGCATTAAAATGGTGGTGTTAGTGAGGCTGTGGGGCAATGAGTAACAATTTTATGTGAAGCCAGACTGTTATTAGTACATTAACTCAAAAGATAGCATATTACAGCTGTCTGAAAATTCATGTCAGAATGGAATAAAATTGATATTTCAGATATTAACTAAGTTGCAGATCAGAATTAAATTATTGCAAATGTGACAAGTTCCATTTGAAGGCTAAGAAGAGCAATTTCAAGTTTATAGGTGTTGCTATTCTTAGTTTTCTCAAGACGATAATTGGCAAGTAAAATCGGAAGTTGCTTAAGGGGATTTCTACAAATTTGAGAACAGAAGTATAGATAAATAGAGAACATTTGGGATGTAAGCAACTCTGGATAGTTCCAGACAATAAGAAATTTTTATCAGAAAAAGTACTGTGATTTTTATGGGCATTTCCCAGTCCACAATAATAAAAAGCTTTGCCTTTTCAAGAAACAAGATGAAATGCATTCATAAACATGTCCTGAGTGGTAGCTTTTCCTGCTGCTGGACGAAGGACCTTTGTAAGATCTGTTTGAAGAAAATATCCAAAGACCTTAATGATCCTACGGCATTCTGCAAAGCAGTGAAATATAATATTCACATGTACTGATATTTTCAGTACATATATGGTTTAGATATAACTGTTTCTCTTTGCTGAGAAGAAAGGAAGAATGAAATCTGCATGTATGCATCTTATTTTCAACTGCAAACCTGGCAGTCTTTTATGAGTAAAACCAATTTTGGCTTCCAGAGTTATGATTTCTTCATTACTGGTACATGCTCCAAAGCATGTTGGGCAGGGCTTCATTCCAACCAAGTAATTTCAAAATACATTCAGTCTTTAACATGTGATATTCTCATGTACTCAAAGCAGCAGCAGATAGTAAAGGATGAACAGTGATGGTTTTAGTTTCATTCTCCTTAAATTTGTAATCTCTATTCTCATTCATAGAAAAATATAGAGAGACCATTGAATTTCCCTGTCAGTCCGCAAGTATGTACGTTTGTGTTGGCGTACAAATGACTTTTTTGATGAGAAGTTGTAAATAGCCTGTTTTCTATAGAGGCTCTGTTTTTTCTCGTCAGCTAAACTGGCTGTGCTGTGCTGCACTGCACGAGGTTGCGTGTTAAGGATCCATTGTTCAGATCAGTCACAATCACTTGTACTTGCTCTTTTGGGAAAGATGAATAGTCATGAAGCTACTCTTTATATCTGCTTTAGAATATAACCTCTTTGAAAATCAAATATGATTATCACATCACTGGTGTTTTTTAGCTCTTCCATTAACATCTTTTGTTCCCAAGGCGGAAGTAATCACTGTAATTGCCCAGGAATTTCTTGGCATATGCATCTGATTTGCAGTGAGGACTTGTCATGTGCTGACAGAATATTATGATGCTGATTTCTGAACCATGAAGTAATGTGCTATCAGATTAATTTTTTGTGGTATCCTTCAAAAAACACCTTCCTTCAGGGGTTTAGATTGAAGTATATTATTGTTGCCTTTTTTTTTCTTTGTGACTACATTTTTGTACCTGCTTTGACCCAAAGGAAAATAAACAAAGGAGGGGGAAAGGCCAGTAATTAAAAGGCTGTTTACAGTTTCAAGTTTCTGTTTTCAGGAGAATTCAGCTGAGTGTACCATTAGAAGCCCTTCGTGCTGTCAGTAAAAGAGGAAAACCACTATAGGTGAATTAATGACCATGATTTGTTTTTACAGAGGGGTCCTTCGTGTTCCTGTTGGAGCCTTGTGGACTCCCTGATACTTTCTATTCCTCCCACACACCACTCTGAAGCCTGGAACAAGGGCTAAGTGTCTTTCTAGTCAGACAGGTCTTTCAAAGACCTGTTACATGGCATTCAGTGTTAATAGTGATCTCACTTGTGCTCTCTCTGATCTCTGCACAGAGACAGACCCTACAGCTTCTTCCAGCAGCCACTTCCGCAGGATGTGCTGTTGCCTTTTCCGTCAGACCCGTGTGCTTTGTGGCTGAGCGAGCTGCTCTCTGCCCACAGGCTGAACGCATACGTGTTCTCTCTCTTTTATAACCTGAAACATTGCACTCTCATGCCTTCACCCATAGTAGCAATAAAAGTTTCTGCTTTGGCTTAGTTTCATGCCAGGAGCCAAAAGCCAACTCACATAGGGAACTGACTGAACCATTTAAAAGACAGAACTCTACCTATAAATGCTTCTGAGCTGTTCATTTGTGCTTTCAGTGCATTATGGGCGTGTTAGCTGACCACTGGTTGCAGATAAGTAGTTAGCAACTTCTGTATACTGTAGGGCATGAAAAATTTTAAGTGTCCTCTGAATTTTTTTGTGGAGGATGTCTACACATCTACGCAGGGAAGAAATTTAACTGCCTCTTTGGCACACTGTCTTGCAGTCAAATCGGTGGAAGTAATTTATCCAGGGAGGCAGTAGAAGGTCTAATGATAGTTATATTCAGGATAGAACAGACTAAACACCTAATTTGTATATACCAGACTTGTACATGCAGTTCTGGGCTATGCCATTTTTTTGGCATAGAGATCTCAGCTATCCCCGCTTTTAAGAAACTGATCCTCAAAAAACAGTCTTTCAGAATTAAATTCATTTATATGACCATCATATATGTTTCTGCAGCCACACGTGAGAAGTTCCACAAACTTAAATTTGGTAGTCTTTCCGTTCTTTCAATATTTTTCTTTTTTGTACTTCCCCAGGCAAAACCTTATACTAGGGAATTTCTAAATGTTTTCCTTCATCTTGATGTACTCAACAGGGGCACAGCAGAGTCCAGTCTGTCTATGTTTCATTTACAAGTTGTTGTTTCCCTGATAATATTAAAATCAGAACAGAGCACAACATTTATTGCATGAACTATTATAAAGGTTAGATATAAAGTGTACTTGAAAAACAAAAAGTAAAGTCTTTCTAGTTGATAGTGCTGTTTTTTTAATCCATCTTTTGCATTGACCTGGATTTGCTCTTTTAAGATTGACTTTTGAAAGATGATACTATTAGAAATGAGCAACCAAAAAGTCTTGGATGCAGAGCAGATTTGAAGCTATGCAGCTTTTTCTCTTTAATAAGGTGACTAAACCAAACACATACTATGCCTTTTGCTATTAAGGAGTCTTTTCAGTAGCAGATGGGCCATTGATCAGTCCATGTCACTACTGCTCATTCTTTGCTTATTGCTTCATGCAGGTACCCAGCGTGCCAATGCCCGAGCTCCAGCTCCGTACAAAAGAGATTTTGAAGCCAAGCTGAGGAACTTTTACAGGAAGTTGGAGACTAAAGGATATGGACAAGGTCCAGGGAAACTGAAGTACGTTGAAGCATCTCATGAAACTGGATTTGCTTCTCAGGCAACTTGCCTTGCCCTGCACATCTACGAGCTTCTTCCCATTAGATGGAATGCAGATGTTTTGGTTACCCAGGCACTTCTGGAAATATGAAACCTGTAATAAAAGACTTAATACCAGCATGTGATTCATAGCAGAGGATACAGCAAGTTCTGAGCACTTCTGTGTTTCCTCCAACTATATTTTTGTACAAACAATATTACCAATACAGTGCCAAAAAGAGCTTTGGGCAGAGGCATGCAGAACAGGAGGCATCTGAATTCTTCCATTATAGCAACTGCTATGATACAAACAGTTATATTTTCTCATGTATTTTTCCACTGAAAAACCTAGACAGGCTATTTTGTACATCCTTGCCTGTATTGATACCAAAATCCTCTTTAGTAAAGAGGATTCATACAGTTAAATGTTATTAAATTCTAAGGATTGCCTTAAAAAACTGCTGATATTTTTATTTTAGCACTCTGAATGCTAGAGTGCTTGGAGTGAGGTCTTCCCTCCTCCGTTTATTTGGTAATCATGTGATTACATATGGTTATGTTGAGGATTGTCCTCACAAGATACTTTCATAATTTTCTACATTACCAAGCCTTGTGCCAGCCAGCAAACTCTTGTAGTTGGATACTCTCATAGTAGCCATGAGGCACTAGAACTTTTTTTTAACCATTTCTTCTTTAACTATTATAAGAAGAGGGTAGGCTTTTGGGTTTTTTGTTTTTTTTTTTTTTTTTTTTTTTTTTTTATTTCCCCCAGACAGTCCCTTCTCACACTTTGTAGAAATTTGAGCAAAGCTCAGACTTCAATTATGTAAGCTTGTTAAAAGTTTTCCATAGCTGAACTGGGAGTAAAATGGTATTGTTTAGACAGTCTTGAGAGGCAGGGGTTAGACAGTGTCTGCCTATAATATAATGAAATCATAAACACTTAAACCCTTATCTATGAAAGTTTTGTCATGAACACTTGGGCAAATAACTGGTAGAAGAGGATGGCATTTGCTCCCTGTAACATCTGTTACATTTCTTAGACCTCTTATTCCAGTCCTTTTTTTTTCCCCTGACCTATTTGCCATCACACTGTAGTGTTTTAAGCAGAACAACAGCTTGATTTTTGAACAGAAGTTTTCCCTGGGTTCCTTTCCCAGGCATACCACACTGACCTGTGCAAACCAGGGCCCCAGCACAACTTGCTTGCTGCCTTGGTCCTCCTGTTGCTCACATACCTGGCCAATTCCTGGGCTCTCCACATCTGTGTCCTCAGCAGGATGGCACAGTGCAGTCATTGACCTCTGCACGAGGCCAGCAAGGGTGCAGGAGGCTGTGTGGTGGGTTCAGCTGCCTTTCTGCAGGCAGCAGCAGCTCCCAGCTTGGCTCTGACAGCAGTATTTGAATATAAAGCAAACTAAGTTTCAGGAAACTAATTAAACACATTCTCTTGGCAGAAGATAAAATGTTTAAGCAAGGAAGATTCTCTCACCTCTTTATTTTAGATCTTATGACAGTTCCTCACTTTCACGATTTTTCCTTTAGAAGGTACGTTGTGTTTTCACACCTGGTGGTTCAGTGTGGTTTTGTACAAATAACTGCCATTCCTTCTAGACAGGATAATATAGGGGTATGTGGTTCTGGAGTTACCACACAGTGACTTTCCATGGTTTTATATTTTTCCTTGTTAAGAAATTGATTTTTACATAAAAGATTAGATTCTTGCTGCTTACAGTAAAACTGACTTAGGGACCCAACTTTACAAAAGTATTTCAGACCTAATGAAAATGCCTGCTTCAGGACCTTTCCCCTTAAGACTTTAATGTAAGGAAGAACCAGAGTAGACAAAACAAAACTACACTTCTTTGTACAAGAGATATTTTATAGAAATATAAAGTAGAGCATTGAAGGAGATAGACTAACAGACAGAAACTTCAGATCTGGATAAAATTATCCAGCAAAAATGTGTATCTCTATAAAGTTCCCCTGTTACTACCTTGCAGTGTAAATAGATATTTCCAACTGTGGTTCATGTTGACAAATTGCTGTTTCAAAATAATTTTGCTCTTCAGATTAATCATCCGGAGAGATCACTTGCTAGAAGATGCCTTTAACCAGATCATGGGCTACTCAAGAAAAGACCTGCAGAGAAATAAACTCTATGTCACGTTTGTTGGGGAAGAAGGGTGAGTAGAACAGGGAAGTGTAAATGTGATCTCAGTGTCTTGCAAATGCTGTTTCACCAAACTTGTCTAGAGTGAAAAGAGGAAGGGCTGCAGTCAGGAAATGCCACATACATAAGCCTAGAATATACAGCTGTTCAAGATGACTTTTGAAGCATTTTGAAATGTAACATATCCTGCCTTTGCAGAAGTAATGCATGTGTTTGTGTGAATTTTCACAATACCTGGTGTGTGTTTCAGAATGTTGCTGGGAAAGCAAAGAAAAAAACCAAACAGCTTTCCTGTTTTATGTGTTTTCTGTCAGTGCTGTTGTATCTCCAGTGCTTATTACCAGACAGCTGCCATTTGTTGGAGGGAGAGTGCTTCACCAGCAGGTTTGAGGCTCAATCCTTAATTCAGCTCCTGTCTTTGAGGCATTGGGAGCTGAAAGCCCTCCGTGCTCCAAGAGGTGGATCACTGCCTCTCCGGGCCAGGGCCTCCATCACAAATAAAAGCAACTGGGCTGTTGCCAATTGTCAGTTAAACACAAATATTCCTGACATTTCAAAGTCACTTCAGAGAACGCTCAGTCTGTGTCTAATGAAAGTCTGAAGGTTGAGCGAAGAGCATTGCAAAGCCAGATGTGGTTAGATTTTTCTTTGCAGGTGAAACTGAAACAAAGTACCATTTGCTGATTTTGTCTCTTGATTTGTGCCCCCTTTGTCAGATCTTAAAGCCTACTTGCCTTTGGCACAAGTATTGTTATTGATGTATTTCCTGAATATGTAAATACATTCAAAATTTTATTCTTTGATATTTAGAAAACTGCAGCACAGCTCTTGGAATGTGTGTTATTGCCATGCAGTGTGTGAGTCTTTAAAATTCTAAGTCGTAATAGAAATATCTCTTACAAGATAAGATAAAATTAATCTGTCTTTGAAAACCCCTAAATCCTGTTTGTTTAAAGCTCAATCTGAAACACTTAGTGTTAATAAGGACCCAGTGAAGCCTTAAAATAAAGAATGTTGACAGCTGAGAGCCAAGTGTGGACTTGTTCATATAAATATGTCACCATGCTGTCTGAGGAAAAACTCAGAACTGGAATGACAAGGCTGGTGCAGAATGAGATTACACTGTATTGACCCAGTAGGGTGGAGATGCAGGAACGAGGACTGTTTCACACAGCCCCTACTAGCCTTCACTTTCATAGCTACAATCTCAACTCACATTTAAAACTTAAGGGGAAACATGAGATAGAGATTGATCCAAATAGACTGTCTCCTTTCATCAGATGTCAGGCTTTTGCATTTCACCGCTCAGCAACATGAAGATTGACCTCAAAATGGGGGTGACACATCCTGTCCCCATTATATCCAGCTTTACACAAGACTCTAGTCTTAATGGAAAAGAATCAAGAGCAAAGTCAAATTAAAATGATGTCAGTTCTCTATTTACAAATCTGTTTTGAATGAAGAAAGGATGTGTGCAAACAGTATTGTTTCATCAGAGATGGTGCAAGGATATGTATCACATCAAACTATTCATTTGGGTAGGTGTGGAAAGACAGGTCAGGGTGGAGGAGAGGAGGAATACTGAAAGTTAATTGCTTCCTATTTACTCCTCCTTTTTTAAGATTTTAAGTAGGAGGTTGCTTTGCATTTCTTTTCCTCTCAGTAAGGAGATGCAAGTCGTAAAGTAATGGGTAGTGAAATCCTCACAAATTGCAACATTTTAGTAATCATTGATTTATTAGTGTATAAATTAGTAAGTGGGGCAGCTCAGACATAGTTACTGCTGTTCATGTGATTTCTATCATAAGTCTCATAATGTTTGTTATCTTCCTTGAACCTTCAGTTTCTACAGTCATACAATTGTGATGTTAGTTTAATGGGTTTTATACACTCATACTTCATGGGAGGATACATTAAGAAAATTCTGATAGAAAGAATATGGTTCCTTAAAGTTGTTTTCCCTAAGTTCTACGAACTTTTAGCAGAAGCTGCTTTGCATTTAAGAGTGGTAAATCTGAAGTATTATGGTGCTTCCTAGGAGACATGAGTCATGTTGCCAACAACATATTGCTCTACTCCTGAATATCCAAATGCCCCACAAGTTGCAGCTGTTGTGTGGTTACATACCTCTTTTATGAAGTTTTCTCACCCTTGTGCCAAGCCTTTAATTGTAGGATAAATCTGACTGGCAGTGCAGGACTCTCCTGATTGATTTATTTAACATGACTCACAGTAACTCTGCATACAAAGGGAGCTGTGTGAAATGGCTGGTAGTCAAGCATGCAGTTTCCTTTCCATCTTAAGACTTCATAGTGAGTCTGACTATCCCAGAAGTTTGGAAGGGTCTTCCAGATGACCCTTTACCTTGATCCTGGTATTTGTGCCAAGATTAAGATTCAACAGTTGTCCATGGTATCAAACCACTTTTGGTTGGGTTTTTTTTTCCTGTAATTTGAGGATGGAATCTACCCTTCTTGCCAGGGTAAGGATCTGTTTCAGCACTTCATTGCTGAAGCTTAACAGAAGTGTAGTGGTTCCAAATAACTGAAAGGAAAATGTTTTTCATTCAGCTGAGGGTTTGTCCTCAGCTTGATAATGGTACCTGGCCTTTACTTTCTTGACGACTTCATCCTCAAAAACAACTCTCAGTTATGGTTGTCGTCTGTAGAAGTCCAAAACATTAGTAGAAGAAGTTCTGTGTGAAAACTGCCCTTCTCTGTGATACTTCTGTCTGTGGGTTGTCTTGGAACTAAAGCAAAGCCTTCTTAAGAGTCAAGTATGAAATCTTCTATCTATAGAAGATATATCTTTATATCTGTTTGTTAGGATTATAATAAGCTCTGTTCTCCACTGGAAAATCCCTCGTTTTCTGTTTTCCAAGTCTAATAGAGCATTAACTTTATACTTAACTCATTTCACTGGTGACCTGTACCATAATGTCAAAATTCAGTCTCAGTGTGTTGTCAGCAGTGAGTTTGTTTATCATTCAGGAAGAAGGGGTTATTTAGATTCATTAGTACTGGAATCTTGAAGTAGGAAAAAAAAAAGAAAACAAAAAAAAGGAAGTGCACCCTCCAAAAGACATTTAAATTCACTCAAGTTTGGAGGACAGACAAGAAAATTTAGACCAAGAAATATAAATCACTCAAATGATCTCATATTATATTGCTAGGGAAAACAGAAATATTATCCCCCAAATTTTCCTATTGTTGCAAGTCTGCAAAGACAAAATATGACTTGTTTATTTTCATTCTTAATTTGTCAGATGCAGATAGAGCTAATGTTGGCTCTTTTCATGTTTTTCCTCCCTCCCCCATGCCTGGCTGCCCCCAGTTATTTGGTTATATTCCTGTGGCAAAGAGGCCATTACAGCTGGAGCCAAAATTTTTTCTGAGAGCAACCCACATGGAGCACTTCATTCCAATCCTCCAAGCCATTCCATTTCAGAATAGTCCCTCGAGAGTTTCACATACTTTGGCATTAAGCAATCTGCAGGATAAGGGTTCTGGTCAAAATCTTACGAAATTTTAATCAAAATATAGTGTAAGAAATGTAGATTCAAAAAAATGTTTCTTGATAGTAATGTCAGTTTTCTCTTTAAAGGTTGGACTACAGTGGACCATCAAGAGAGTTTTTTTTCCTGGTGTCCAGAGAGCTCTTCAATCCGTATTATGGTTTGTTTGAATATTCAGCCAACGATACCTATACAGTACAAATAAGTCCCATGTCTGCTTTTGTAGACAATCACCATGAGTGGTAAGAATTATTTGTCTTTTTGTTTTTCAGGTACCTTTTCTGTTATTCCCACTTGTAGACAGCTGCTCAAATCTGCTCAGACACGTAACACAGAATCTGATCCTTTTAACCAGCAGCAAAATAATTGCATTTCTTTAGACTTTACCGAATTTGGTTTCTCTTGTGGTTTTAAATGATCTTATTTCTCACAAAGTCAGCAAAATTCTGATTTGGAACATGTACCGTGGGATTGTCTCACAACACAACTCTGCATTTCTTGTACATTAGCAGTCATTTCATGAAGGCAATATTAAACTCTTGGGCATTAAAGGAAAAATTAAAAATAATGACACATTGCCTTTTTGTCAGCTAAGGAGATTAAGGGAGATTTCAATCAGGTGTTACTGTATGTAGTTTTTATGAATCTTCCTAAAGTGTACAGAGGTCTCCTCAGTGGAAAAACCCCAACATATCTATTGGAAGGAAATCTATGGTGGTATCTCAGTTGGGGGCAGGGGGAAGCTGCTGATCACGCAGCTTTTAAGCAAGTCTGTACATACACACATGCTTCTAAAATAGTTATCAAGGATTTTGACATAATCCCATTTTCACAGTTATAAGCCAGTTTAAATCACCCTCAGTTGATTTAAGCCATGGCATCACCATAAATCTGTAAAGCTGTGCTGTGACTATTAACAGAGAATTCTGCTGTGTAAGTAGTTGGATTACAGTAATAGTGAAATGACAGCTCCTCATCTGTGTAGGACAGATATGTACTGAGTTCTTATTTATTGAAAACCAGTTATGAAGAATGAATATCAGAGGGGAATCTCATTGCTAATTTTAAAAATTAATAGAAAATTAAGTGGTTGGCAGCCTCCAGTTCAATTAGTTAAGCAGCCTGCCTGTTGAACTCCAATACTTCAACAGTAAATGGCATATGCTGTTTTGGAAAGGCAGAACAGCCTGGCAGAAAGGTGAGAGAAAACCCTTATGTGCTATGTAGCTTCTGCCAAATTTTTGTCTTCATTCCTGGCTTCTGCAGTGCTGGAACAGAGACCTTGGGGGTAGAGGAGGCATGACCCCTCTCTCTTTCTGGGAGTGCTGGTGCCAGTGACAACACTGGTCTTGTACAGCCTCAGGGGGAATTCAGAAAATGCAGCTCTGACAAGCAGTTATGCATGGAAGGAGAAGGCTCTGCATGTCACATCCTCATCTTGCAAACATTGTACAACCAGGTATCATAAAGCCCTAGCTTTTCCAAGAAAAATGTTGTAAATGGTGCATAAACAGAAAGTTCAGGAAACATTTTCTTTGAAAACAAACACTAGACTTTAATCTAGTTCCGGAGTTGTGGAGGAGTTTTCACAATGGATCTTGATTCTCATGGGAGTATTTGCAAAGACCCTACTGTTTCAAGGTTGCTGCCATCTGATCTCAACTCTGGCAAGCTTCCTCCTTACACACCCAACAAAATGAAGATAATAGGGGAAGAAAGCAAGAGGCAGGAGAAGGAGATTTAGATCCCACTGACATAAGGCTGGAGAGCACTGTGATACATCAAAAAGTTTTCAGACACTGTTTGTGAAAATATATATAGAATTCTTTAACCACCAGTCAGAAGAGGGAGCAAGGAGCCACTCTGTCAGGCAGAGAGAACTGTCAGGTGGGGGAAGGGTAGAAAAACCTTTGGCCTCCCAGTAACATGGTTATCATTTTGGAAGATAACGCATTTATAAAAGGGCTAGTCTAGCAGAGGTTTGATTAGGTTAATATGGATTTGACAGTTCTGAGCAGTTGCAACTTAGCTATCTGAGGGATTTTCCACACCCTGCAGACTTGTGTTTTTTGTTGGTTGTTTTTTTTTATGTACCTTACTGAGAATGTCAAAGGAACACAAGAAATAAACAAAAATGCCACAATTTAGACATGGCTGTCTGATTTAATAATGTTGTTTGGAAATACATGTAAGTTTTGATGACAGAGCAGTGTACCAGCCACAGAGTTTCAATATAACAATTATAACTCTTTCTCTTCCAGGTTCAGGTTTAGTGGTCGGATTCTTGGTCTTGCTCTGATACATCAGTATTTGCTGGATGCCTTTTTTACAAGACCTTTTTATAAAGCCCTCCTCCGAATGTGAGTAGAATTATATTGTCTTCTCTTTTCTTTGGTTTCTTCCACATGAGCGATGCCATTCTGTATCATGTTTTACTGACAAAGAAGGAGGACCATTATTTCTAATTTAATAATTTTATTCCAATCCAGGACTTTTTTGAAAAATTTACTTGTTTCCACTACCTCAAGAATGTTGTTTCTGATCACTGTGAGAACCTCATGTTTTGTTTTAGCCCTGTTGTCAGCTTTCTTCTACAAAACCTTAGATTTGCAGATATATAATGAAATGCTGTAGGCTTATTCCAGGTATTAATAAAGTTCTTATTCTTTTGTGTAATGACTCACAGGATAGGATATGAATCACTTCATAACTTAGACTACACAATCCATTCTCAGAAGTGGACTGATTGTTGGCAGTCTCCATTTTGAGTAGCTGTACTTTGATATACTTGTTTTTCAGAACTGCTACTCCTGTTCTGGCTGAAACAGTGAGAGCTGCACTTGCTCAGCATGTCTGGAATTTAAGACCTAATGAACTTAAGGTGGCTTCACTTTTGTCCTCCATTTGAAAGGTGGTTTTGAGAAGTCTGGAAGCATTTTTTTTTCTATGAAACGCCACGTATTCCACTAGTGTGGACTAATGCATCTGTTCTTATTGCACATATATTTTAAAAATACCTAAATGCTAACAGCAGCATTTTAGTAAGAATGAGGACTTACCCCAGGTGGACTTTGCACTAGTATTGTGTGACTGCCAAATTAAATTACTTGTTTAACTTGGTGTTTCTCTAAACAGTAAATTTAAAAATGAGGGGCAACCACCTCTGTACACAGCCTAATTCATGCAACTTTCCCACCTAAGCTCTGCACCTTTGCTTTTCTCAGAACTGATGAGCCATCCAGACTACCTGACCAGATGGGACATGGTGCCCAATCCATCAGCTTTGATGTAGTGGCTGTTACTGCAGGATGTAACTCAAACTACACTTGAGCATCCAACTACAAGTACAGGGCTTATTTCTGGCTTTATACTGACCCAAGAATAGAAACAGGCAAATAACCCTGCAGCTGAAAAGCTCCTTACTTAATGAATAGCCCCAGTGTCCTGTTTCACAAAACAGGATTTAAGGAGTTAAGAAGGATGGCAGAAATCGCCACCACAGTATTAAATATTACTAACAGATGACATGTTCAAAGCTTGGAGTAGTAACTGTTAAAGACAGCAAGGGGCAGTTGGCTTACAGATTGGATTTGTAAAAGAAGGACCAGGGAAGGGAAAAAGGTAAAAAGATATTTCTGTGGCAGGCAGAGTATCTGAACAGACTTCTTTGCGTGATGAAGAGCTGAGAGATATGGCAGTATAGCCACATAAGCTAAAAGGATACTAGTTGCTTGTTAAAAAAAATCTTACAATTTCTTTTATTATTTGAATTATGTCTCTTCAATCTACATATTTTTATAATTCCTAAATATTCTTCATAGAAAACCTGGGACAGACTCACCGTAAGCTTAAGCAGCAGTGTGTCTTCAAATTAAAATCTGGAGTTTTGTATATTTACAAAATCATTTTGTGTTATATAGTAACTGCTGTTACTAGGCAAATAAACAGAGATTTGAAGTACTGTCATCTTTATTGACTTTTCTCTTGGCTCCCATTCACAGTCTGTTTTTCAGGACTGTCCTATTTGAGTTTAGTTACTGAGCACATGCTACTGCCATCATCTGTATTTGTGTGTTTTCTTCATCTTAGACTCTGTGACCTGAGTGACCTGGAATATCTCGACGAGGAGTTTCACCAGAGTTTGCAGTGGATGAAAGACAATGATATACACGATATCCTAGATCTTACATTTACTGTAAATGAAGAGGTTTTTGGACAGGTGTGCAAGATTAATTTCCTTGGTGTATTTTGCTGCTGGATAAACATTTATTTGGATAGAAGAATAATTGTCCCTCCATGCTGCTTTGAACTTGTTTTTATAAAATTCCAGTTGGTGAAACCTATGTTGAAGTCTAAAGAGGAATTATTATTTGTAACCGGTCAAACGTGTTTTTCTGGTTAAGGAGATTTTCTGGAGAGTATCTGAAATATCAGACTTTAGGATTGCTTTGCTAGAAGTAGTTTACCTGAACTGAATTGCAGCAAAGTTGCCATTCAAAGGTATTACAACACCTTTAGAAGACTTCACTACTTTAGTTACTGTAAAGATTGTTTCTGTTTTTCAACTTATTAATTATGAAGGTTCCTAAGACCAAATAGGATTTAAAATATTATTTTAAAAAAGATTTTTTCCTATGTTCCCCTATTTCATATATTCCAGTTTGCTAAAGTCAGGTTTGGTTAGTGATTTTGAGGAATTACTTCAGCTTAAAATTTTAAAATATTACAATTCCTTCTTTTGTCTTCATATAACTGTGTTGTCACTTGGTCATTTTTTTTCCTAAGATCACAGAACGGGAACTAAAACCAGGAGGTGCCAACATCCCAGTCACTGAAAAGAACAAGAAAGAATACATAGAAAGAATGGTGAAATGGAGAATTGAGAGAGGAGTTGTACAACAAACAGAAAGTCTAGTTCGTGGTTTCTATGAGGTAAAAAGCTCCCATATGAATTTACTTTCTTTCTCCTTCCAAAATATTTTTCTCTTCACATACATTTCCAAAATTCAGAGTCCCAAATATAATCAGAAGTGTCCTTACAGATACTGGAAGGGAGGAGGGGGTTAAGAAAAAATTCTAATTGGCATAAACACTGTGGTTATGTGTCTTCTTTACACTGGAAAATACTACTGATCACTACTGGTATGATTAGCAGACAATTCTTGCTTAAGTGACTCATTTCGTCATTGGGTCCCTGAGGGTTCTGTGTGCATGCCGTACTCAGTATAACACAGTTGACAAAATGTATTTCAAGGTATTTCCCTCTTACCTGTTTTAACCCAGACAATTAAAGTGAATGTCATGAACTTAATTTGTCCTGAAATAATTCAGTATTATTTGCCAATAAAATTTCCTTCCAGTCACCATGATCCTCTAATGCAACTAAATGGAACTGCACTGTAAGAAAAAGAAGTCCACTTATTTGCCCTTAAAAAGACAAAAACTGAATTCTATTCATTTGTGACAGAAATGATCCCTGGTAAATATCTTAGTAGCAGACTTTATGGAAGGCAAAAATAAATAAATGAAGGAATGTTGCTATGCATTTTATTTCCTTTCACAGGTGGTTGATGCAAGGCTGGTGTCTGTATTTGATGCCAGAGAACTGGAACTGGTTATAGCTGGAACAGCAGAAATTGACTTGAGTGATTGGAGAAATAATACAGAGTACAGAGGAGGTAACTTTAATTGTGACTTGTTCAGTGAGAGTGTTGGGGGGGCCTAGAACTCCCCAATTTCCAAAAGTGTAAAGAACCATCCCATGGGATATATTTTTAGTACCTTCTGAATTTCTCTGGTTAAGTTAGTGTTAGGAGAAGGTAACTTGTCCATTTTAGTTCGCTTTGTTGCATCCCCATGCAGCTCCTCCTTTACTGCTCTTATCTGGACAGCATGACAGAGCAGTCTTCTCCACAGAAAGTACTGTGCTCAGCTGCACACCAGTACAGTACCACCCAGACATGGGAGAGAAATGATAACCATTCTTACTTGGATATTCCTTTTTTTTTTTACATGCTCAAAGTCAACAGTAATCCCAGTGACTGCAGGCTGGCAGTTGAGATAATTTGAGAACAGTGGAAGATTTGGGAACTACTTTGAGAGAGATGGTTTTGGCATCATTTGTAGCTTTAGATAGATAAATGACATGGTATTGGAATATTTCAAGAATTGGCATTCCTGTTAGTGATTGATTAATGAAAGAAATGCTTACAAAAGACATTTCACTTCTTTTTGTCATAGTACACTATTTCTCTGCCTTCAGGATTTTTAAGCATTTTACGAGTATTCTTCTTGTACCTCCTGCCTTTTGATGCAATTGGATAAAAAATATGGCATTATTGTGACTAGAGCTGAAGTAGGAAAAACTAACTATTCTCTCAACCACTTTTGTAACACCTAAGCATATAAAGGCTCTTGTTGTCTTAACAGGTTATCATGACAATCACATTGTAATTCGGTGGTTCTGGGCTGCTGTGGAAAGGTTCAATAATGAACAACGACTAAGACTTTTACAGGTAAGAAATGAGCTGATTTGTGTAGAAATAGTGTGCATCACTGACATTAGATGCTAAACTACTCCCATCTAGGTTTATGACATCCAGAAATTATGGTGATGCTGGCTATTGGGAATAACCTGAGTCAGAGACTAAATGCGATAATTTCACGTGACTGAAGCTCACAGCTATTTTTATAGGTTTCTAAGTTAAAAATATGTTTAAGATGTCTGATGTCAATAATCTTTTACTATTGTTTGATTAAAAGTACATCAAGACTCGTAAAGACAGAAGAGGAAAACTGTGACAGCTTAGGAAGAAGAAAACTTAGATGGAAGTTCCAGTGCCTCAAATTAGAAAATAATGATGTAAACCTTAAAATCAATCCAATCCCATTTTCACTAAGTGAACCTTCAGGATCTAGTCATGCTGCTGCTGGAGGACAAAAATGTCTTAACAGAGGAATATTTATATATGTGGGCTTATTATTGAGTTAATTTTCTTTAAATTCAGGTTATCTGTAAAGAAACAGACAACTCCCCACTGCAAGGGGGATCTATGATGAAATTCACTGTTTTTAACTATTCAGAATTTGTATATGATCACTGATTACAAAGAATTTTCTCCTTTTGTCTGTTTAAATATTTAAAAAAGGTCTATAAAAGGCAGTGTGGGACATCTCATTTGATGGAGAGCCAGAAATGTCTGCTTATATGTTCCTATCGCATCTGTTAGTGAAAAGTTTTTATAATACTCAGATCATGAAAAATTAAGTAGCCTCTGATCTGTCAAAAACTAAGTTTGATCTGTTCATGGCAGGTTATAACTAAATCTCCTCAACAGACAGGATTTCAGCAAATGTCAGTGGGCATTCTACCTAACCCTCAGGATTTAGATATTTTCTTACAGTATCTAATAGCAGTTTATAAAATCCACATAACCAAAAAGGCATAGCACGAAGCCATCAGACATTATTACTTTTTTATGAATTCCTTTTAATGCAGAATAAAGACAGTAGCAAAATCTCACTTAGATTTAAGTTTAAGTAACTTGATATTAATAGTGTGTTATTCTACAGTACTTATGTATCATAATTGCTCTTTCAAAGAGAAACCTTTGGAGGAAATTAATCTGATAAGTTGCCTCTTCTAAAGCCCTATCAGGAAATGGTCTGTTTTCCCTTAGCCTCCATTTAAAGTAGCATTTATTGTGTCCCTCAAAAATTTCCTTATTTTGCAAATGCTTTTACAAGAGCATTTGGACTTCAGTGGATATGCTGATTTAAATAAGTTTCTAACCCACAGCATCTGTGTAGCCAAAATCCGTGATGTTTTGTTTGTGCTGGCAGTTTGTGACAGGCACGTCCAGCATTCCTTATGAAGGATTTGCCTCTCTGCGGGGGAGCAATGGTCCAAGACGGTTCTGCGTGGAGAAGTGGGGGAAGATCACTGCTCTTCCAAGGTACAGCAGTGTGTATACCAGTGTGAGAGATACCTCAGAGTACCTGTGACCAGGATAACAGATGAGCTGTTTGAGAAACATTAACAAGGTTTAATTGGATATGCAAATATACTTTCCCTTAACATGAAAATTTCCTTCCCCGTTGTGTCTGATCCAGTGTCTGATGCATTCATTTTTGTTTGAATTCAGTTTTGTTCTCTTAAGATGGACAAGGCAGTGTAAATGTGGCTGACATCCATATTGTAGGGGTTTTCTCACAGAAAATTATATTAGAATGATAACTACTGAATTTTTTGTCAGATTTGACTAAATGTGCAGGTACTTACTTAATGAACATGCAGTTTATCACTAAAGAGCAAAAATTAATATGAATTAAAATTAAATAGCACTTGTGACTGTGTCTGAGTGAAAGCTACTGTCATGTTTTTTGCATCAGACAGAGCCTTTATGGTATAGTTTAGTGATGTAATTTTTATGCTTGCCCTGATGTCGAGTGTTAACAAATACTGAAGAGTTGAGTTGTGAATGCAGAAGAGGGGGGAGGGACTAATTTGACTTGAGAGGCAACAGGAGGGACAAGAGAAGGTGAGGATTTCAAAGAGAACAAGTAGGATCAATTGAAATATGTGAAGAGGGTAAAGGAACAGTATGAAAATCCAAGATACGAAAGCAGGAGTTGAGTTGTACAAGCCCTTGCAGACAAGAGGCAGCTTTTAAATTGGATAATAGCAGGTTTGGAGGAGTAGGATGATGCTTTTCTAAATTTTCTAAATTTTCCATTTTGTAAAGAGTTGGGTTGTTTTCAGAGGTCCATGGTAACAATGCCAGGACTAGATTAATAGCTTGTGAACGATGCGAAAAACATCTTCTAGCATGGATTCTTCATTGACAAAAAATGACGAGTTCTTGCCTTTTCTGTATTGAGATCGGACTGATATGTTTCTGGAAGACTTCCTTTCATCCAGTTCTATAATTCTGTAGCCCCTAGAATGGGTTAAGAGTGGTTATACACAGATTAGTGTGTGCAGTGTTGGAAACCTAACTCAGTCAGATGCCAGCTTTAATGTGCTGTGTACAACTTGTGGAGGTAGCTTTGCATTAGGCTGATCCATGGAGGAAACTCAGCCCTAATCTTAACTCGCTCCTCATAAACAAGATTCCTCAGGAATAAGTTGGATTCGAAGTCTCATCTGAGACACTGGCAAGAGTTTCTCACAATTCAAACACACAGAGTTTCTCAGACCACAGCTCAGACACACAGAGTTTCTCAGACCAACAACCCGTAGCTTTTTCCTCCAGCATAAGGTCAAAGGCAGAGACATCTCTTGGGTTGGCTCCTGCCTCAGGGCTGCCATCTGAACACATGGAGAAAGTCATGGATGCAGTGAAATCCACAGGCACGGCAGGTGGCCTTTAAACAAAGCCATCTTTCCAGTTCACAGTACAAATGAGAGCCAGGTGACTGAGGATTAGAGAAACCAAATTCTGGAAATTGCTATTACAACTCAAATACTCTAATATCTTCTGGGGGCCTAGTAGTATCTTGTAGCCCAACAAGTCTAGTTTATAGTTTGATTATGACTGACCTATGAACTAGCTTTGTTTCTGTTTAAAAAAGAAAAAGCTGTGATTTTTTTTTAAAAGTAATTTCTGACTTCAGAATTCAAGATTGTTTTTGTGAGTTTAAGTAAGAAAAGAGATTGCCTGAGTTTTTCCATATATTCTCAAATACTGGAATTCCTGGTGCTAACAAGCAGAGCTCACAGAATGGAAAAGGTCAGGACCTGCCAGAACAGGATGTTCAGAATTTCCTCTGAAAAGGTTATGCAGAGCACTGCTTGTAATAAACTGCAGAATAAAACTGCTTCCTGTAGTGCAACACAGAGAAATGTGTTGAGAATCTTTGCTACCATAGGGTGTTCATCAAGTGTAGGGGAAATGCCACCTCCTCACTTTTGGGAGACTACAGTATGTCCTTGAAATTTCACTTGTGATTCCCTTGGTTAGGAAACATTTGATTTTTGTCTCTGTGGGTAGTTTTTAACACACAAATGTTAATGTTAAAATAAACCAAAAACACACTTATTTTGCTAAAATAAAAACAACTGTGCATGACAAACATCTACAGTTGTCATGAGCAAGCAATTCCTGGTATTGCTTGCACGTGGGGAACCTTGATCTTGTAAAAAGTAAAACTCCTTACGTGTTTATACATAAATGGGTTAAGCCCTAAGCACTGTTTAGATTTTTACCTATCTAGTTCCTGTGTGCAGGGTAGCTTCAGCCTGTGTCTCACCAGCTTCAAAGCCTCACCGTGCACACAGTGGGTAGTACTGGCTTTAAGGTAAGAAAGCCTTAGCAATGACCCAGAGTAGCAAACTTTCAAGAGGTTTCCAAACAAGCCCTGCGTGTGTAAACACATTGCTGTATCTGCTGAGAATGCTGCCCTAGGACTCTGTGGCTCTCACTGATTCTCAGATAACTAAAGCATTTATGTTAAGGCACCATCACTGGCTCCTAGCAGTGTTGAACTCTGCAAATTGCCCTTTTAGCAGGAGTGCTTGTGAAATTTGATAATGCTTGGTGTGAGGGTGGCAAAAGCTTAACAAGTCAGAGGACTTTGTTTCTTCCTCTGTTTCTAGAAACACTACTGCAGTGGTGTAAACACATAAGCGTACCTATCCCCATCTCTTCTCCCTGATTTTGAGATCCAAAGGGCAACTAGTCTAGTTACTTAGATACGTGATTGTGGTCTAAGCAGCTGTGAATATAAACATAAAAGTTTTCACTAGATGTTTACCTAATTCCCACTGTTCTGACTGCTGTGTAATCAGTTCTGCTGAATCACAACAGTGAGATTTCTGTGAGGCACGTCAGGTTGCCTAGCTTGTATCACTGTCTTTTACACTAACAAGGCAGGATGTGAAATGCCTGAAAAGTTTGATTATTACAGGTCTAGCATAATAACTTCTACTTCCTTCTTTTATACTGTGTTGTAGATTAGACTAAATCAGGGGAGGGACTGTTACTCTTTCATTTCACACACATGCTGAGAAATTAGTTCCAGGCTTCATCGCTGTACATTATATATACATATGCATGTGATGATTCACGTGAAAATAGTTTTTATGTCTGACTACTTGATTTCAACTCTAAGTCGCTCTATTTTACTACGGTAATCAAAATGAAAGGGAGATTAATCAGGGATCTAGGCTTTAGAAGCCAAGGTGGTTTGAAATGTCATAAAATGTGAGCTCAGGAAGATGAACAGTTAGTGCCCATGTGGTTTGAAATGTTGGAATGGGAAAACACTGTCCAGAAGGGAGACAAACCTTTGTTCTCAAACTTCTGAAGTTGTTTGCTGGGGTTAGAAAAGCATGCATCACCTCAGAAGACAAAGGTCTTGGTTTTGTCTTTTTTAATTACTTGGTTTTCTGAAGTAAGTGACTGCATTTTCAAAATTGCCCTCAAAATTAAGATAAAACTCAGTACTCTTAATAAATGTAAACAACATGCTGGCTTATTATTAAACCATTTAGTAACGAAATCTTGCTAATTATACACTATGTCTTTTATAATTTGTGGTTTTACAACCCACACAGCATGATCCATAGTTCTAATGAGTGGCTGCCAGCCCCATGCAGCAGAAGCATGTGGTTAGACTGTTAATTGCCCAAGACTCTTCCACAATCTACACTGAATTCAAGAGATCACCGAGTTCCATTTGCTGCTGGGCTTAAATCAGTCTCTTTCTTCAAAAGATAATATTTTCAATTTTTTTTAAGTACGCAGGAAGAAATGCAATAATTTAAGTTATATGACAGATACTATTTTGTAAGGTTTTTGGAAAGGCAAAGAAGGAGTAAAATGCAAGGTTTCCCCCAGGAGCCTTAGAGAGGTGGCTGGGTGGAGAAATTTTACCAGGCTCCTGGAATACCAGGTGGGGGAATGCCAACAGTGTACTTCTAAGAGTACTGTATTTGGGGAGGGTGCTTAATTCAAATATACAATTATATATTTGGTGTTTGGACTGTGTTTATAATAATAGTGTGGCTTTGTGTACTGTGTACACATTTCTTCAGCCTGATATTTTTATGACACTACGAGGCTTTAACTGAGTGTTTCAGCATCAGTGAGGGTTTGTAATGGACTCTTAGGTTTTTTTAACAAGCGAGATTAACCCACTTCACTTCATGTTCCATCCCCATAGTCAGGAGCTGAGAGCCACTTAAAATGGCATTGAGTGAATTTGCTCACATGGAAGGCAGCACTTTCTGGTTCAGAGAAAGTCTGTAGAGGTCTGTGGTAGACACTTGGATTTCTGGATTGGTTAGGTTAAATGAGGAGTCACATTTGCTATGAGGAGGGAGCTTGTTCAGTCCTTCCATTAACATGCTACATATTTACACTTAATGCAGATCATACTGATGAAGGGCAAGTCACTGCAGGAAGACTTTGGTTTTCAGCTGGATTGTATATAAATAACTCTATGGTGTGTTTTATTGCAGAAGAATGAATTATTTGTAAATATAGACCTGCCAAAATACAAAAATGCCTAAAATCAATCTCAAGTGAGACTTTGTTACAAAGCTTCAGAGCAGAAAAGATGCCTCCTCCAGCTTCTCTTTGCATCATTTCATCTTCAAGAATGCATCATGTTCATAGTTACGCTATCTATTTCATTAAAGCAGGCTCATTCACTGCAGTGTTTTAGAAAGTCCAATCCTTAGCCTGCCCTGAGGTCAGGCAATAATATCCATTATTCTATTACGAAGAGAAACCTTTGTTATCTCCCTTTCCATTCTCTGGAAGAGGTTTTGAGAGACAGTTCCAAATGTGTCAACAAACTGAGGCAGATGGACTTCAAAAACTGAGAAATAAATCACAGGGTCATTCTGCATAGTTTCGTGTAATTACAAAAGTCATTGGCTTGTAAGGCCAGGTATGTACCTAGGGAAAATCAGCACAAGCAGTGATTTCCCAAGAGTACAATGCCAAGGAAATTGTAGAAGGAGGAGCATCTAATTTGTCTGTCCTTTACTACTGTGAGGTTGTTTCCCATATATCTGGAGATGTATGGAAATATCTTGTTTATTATTATAAATACAGTATTCAAGTGTCATCAGTACAGAAAAGAAATGTTGCGTCTCAGAAGACACATTTAAAGCCAAGATTTCAGACCAGACTGTTCGAATTGAATGCTGTATAATTTTTTTTTTCTCATGCACATTTAATGGATAAAATTTATCCCATGCCTCTTGGGCTGTCAGTGTATTTCTAAAGACCATCATAAATGCTTCTTACTGGCTTATTTTAATGAGAAGAAAGTAGATTAAACCTCACTACCTGTTCATTTGGAAAACATGATTTGACAGAACACAGTCTTCTGAAAGAAATACTATCTGCCCGTCTCTGTGCAAGCACATACCAGTCTGTGTGTTCTCTTTTGAACCTTTTAAATAATGTACTTCTTCACCTCCTCTCTTTTTTTCCCCTCAGGGCTCACACTTGTTTCAATCGTCTGGACCTCCCCCCTTACCCATCATTCTCTATGTTATATGAAAAACTGTTGACAGCAGTTGAAGAGACAAGTACTTTTGGACTGGAGTGATACACAAACCACAGTGCCCAGCTCATTGGACTTTTGTGGATCTGTCTTCTCAAGGAATGAATGAACTTTTGTATTGGATTTCCTAGAGGAAAATTGTTTCATGGTGCAATTCAAATAATGAGGTTCCACGAAAGAGCTTACGAAGCAATTAAAAAGCGTTGTGGTAGTGGCAGAATTCTCTACAGTGAAACTAGAGTGTGCCTGATGTGCAGGGAGAACCAAGTCTTGCAATCCATGGTTTTTCCACGCTTCTTTAATTTATGTTCTGAGCAAACAAGAAACGTGATGCCATGTTGTGATCAATCTGGCTACTGCAAAACTGACATGTACCCAAACACTGGATTTCATCAAAGTTGTTGAATAGAAAATTCAAGTCAAAATGTGAAATCATTCAGCCCCTTATCTACCCAGTAAATTATAAAAGAAAAAGCATACAAACTAATTATTTTTTTTTAAATTCATGAAGGTACATTACTTTATGCCATATTTTGTAAAAGCATATCCAGCACTTGCTTACCTAAGACTACGAGTGCCTGCATGGGGTGCACCATAGAGCTCAAGTTCCTGGGGCAGAAGTGAATTGGAAGGCAAGTCAGCAACAAAGGACGTAACAACAGCTTGCATTAAGGAGGTTTGTGGAAATGCATTTGCCAGTGGTGTGTATGACAAAATATGAGCTGTTACAATGAACTTAATAACTTAATGAGACTGATTTTGTGCTTTATACTGCATGGAAACTATTTTAAGAAGAAACTAGCAATTTATCACATCATATCAGGAAAAAACCCCTAACACAGTGACTTCTGTTTATTTTTATAGGTTCATTATATTATGTTTCTTAGAGTGTAAACAGGAACCAAGCAAACTAAAACGCCATTTCTGTTCTGTCACTTTCCATGCTTGAACAGACATTCTGCTAGTGTTTATTCTTTAAGCACTCTCAAGGGGAAAAAAATGCCTTTTATTTTTATAAGAGTAAAAAAACTCCCGAAAATATTTTGCACTGAATGTACCAAAGTTGAAGGGACATTATGATCTGACTGATAGCAAACTGCATCACTATCAAGTATCTATAAAAACGCTTAGGAACCAGGCTTTCTTCACAGTGCCATGTCTATAGATATCAGGACTGTGCACTTAAGTAATAATTTTATAATACTATATGTGATATTGTAATATGCATTTATTTTAAATGCATCTGGGTCATTTTTCATGCATTGGATAACTTAATGCAGTGGAGTTTAATACAGATATTTCATATTCTCCCCACAAATTTTTATTTGTACAGCACCATAAAACACTAGCTCATTTGGAAAACCATGAGTAACCTACTTTAAGGTGAGCCACTGGTCATAATGCCACTGTCTTGTATCAGTGAACACCTACAAGATGTAAACTGTTCGTAGTGTCCAAGCTTGCATTTTCACTGATAAATAGTTTTCTTATCAAATGTTATTTGAAACAGTTTTTATGGCATATCAAACACTGCATGGACACCAATTTCTTTATGCTTAATTTCGCTGAAATACATGAGGCTTGCTCGCATCTATTTTTGGTACTTTCCTCCAGATGGTCTTGTGGAACACTTGTGCAGCTGCACGCCACGTCTTGTACAGCTGCTGTCACGCAGCGCATCCCCACCACATTTTAAAATTCCAGAAGTTGCACGTGGATACTGGATGACAAGAACATGAATCTGGCTTTGTGCTAGCCCTTTTGGGTAGCACCGAAGCACAGCAAGCCCCGTTCTGTGGGAAAAGTAGCTTTTGAAGTAACGTTCTCACTTTGGAGACTCTTGAAAGGGCATCTCAGGGAGGTATCCTGCCTTGTTCTTGTGGGAGGTTCTTTCCAACGGATGTGAACATCTATGGAGAAGTCGTCAGCAGGGACTGCCAGTCCACCCTCCAAGTCAGAAGGCAGGTGCAGCTGTGGTGGTGGCAGCAGAGACCGAGAAAACCCTTCAGAATTACTGAAAATATGTTACGCGTGCAAAGGAAAAGCAAAATCAGAGTGAAAGCATTTTTTTATTTCAAGACTAATTGAGCTTCTGCATGACATCTGGGACTCTCTTAAGTAACATAGCTTTTCTTACACTACTTCTGGCTGGTATGAAGTAGCAAAGAAAAATCCAAACACGTCACCCTCTTTCTACACATATATTTATCAGTCTTTGCTAAGATTGCATGTCACAGATCCTAATGCACATCTTTTTTCAGAACATGAATGAGCAGTAGGCAAACTGACACTTTTCATCAGGTCACTCCAGCATGGCTCATGTTTCATATGATCCATTCACTGAGTAGCTAAAACTCTGGCACTCGAAGCAAAATGTTGGAAGGACTACAGAATTTTCATTTTACAATACTGTGTTATCTGTGGTCTAAAAAAGAGATTTCCCAGGTGGAAACTGTATCTACAAGTTTTGAACCAGATACTCTTTGGAATGAAAAGTTTAAATACTTGGCACAAAGTAAGTTTATACTAGTTTGCCTTTTAAGTTATGCTTTTGTACAAAACTAAAACAATAAATGCATCTTGTCAATTTTTATTTAAATATATCTACTGCACCCATTTGTTCTGTGTTTATGCATGTAAAAATAATTTAAATCAGCCATGATGATCTGGTATTATGTAAAGATGTGACAGGGTCACCAGTGGGGCAGCTGTCAGTTAGAAAATAGATAAATTTTAAAAAATCCAGAATCTTTGTAGCGTTAAACCCAAGAGAGACTGAGGAGAAGCTGCTGCTTTCTCCTTTGCTGCCAGCATCACCTGGGGGACTCTAGAAAAATGCTGTTTGAAAGCTGAGGTGTTATTTGCCTGGATACAGCTACCTGTGGTGCCTCGAGCCCTTAGCTGGCTCTTTGTGATGGTATAAGTGATGCTGCTGCCCTGAAGAGATTAGCAAGGAGGGAGTATTAGAAAGGAAGCCTGAGCTTTGTCAAACACCCACGTCTCCTGGCAACTGCTTGAAATATTCTCCCTTTGGTGTTGGAAGCCATTCCCATTAAATGTGTCCCAAGTGAATGCCAACTTGCATGTCCTGCAGCTGACTGCAACAGGTGACCATGATGCTTTCGTTATGTTCTGTGGCAGGGACAAGAGTCCTGATAGAGAAAGACTTGAGAAGCCTGTCTGAAAGCTCTGCATCTCCTCAGAGCCCTTCCAGATGGTGTAAAGGAGCTTCCCATTTAGGTAGAAAAAAAGCCAGTCAACCTGAAGTAGACTCTTTAGCTAGAGTGATGACAGCTTGTCCTAACTTAACCCGCAGCATCTCCATCAGGCAGTCTGGTGGGGGAGGTCCCTGCAAGAATTTAGGTGAGGTGCCCATGTTTCCTGCTCTGCTGGGAGGTGGAGCCACTCATCACGAGCCAAAAGGCAGCTCTGCAGGTCAGTGCAGCTCTCCCCAGGCTCGCAGCAGAGTGGCCTCTGTCCCCAGCACTGCAAGGTCAGGTCCACCTCTTTCCAGGTCCCAAAATCCCAGCCTAGCAGAGGTGCACTTTGCTCACCTGGCACTGCTAGCAGTCAGTTTAACCATCACACTCCTAAATACACCAGAAAAGCTTGTAATCAGTGGAATTGCTCAGGGTGGCACCTACTGTAACAAGCAGTCACCCGTTCAAGGTTGCAAGCCAGACAAGGACAGCGGTGCTTTCGCCCGCAGCAGGCAGGAGAGCAGGAGACAGCCATCTGCCACCTCTGTCACACCTCAGCAGCACCTGGCAGGGTAAGATGGGAAAGCCTTTCAACCCAAACTGTGTTCCCCACCCCCTGTCTGCTGTTTTACCTTCGTATTCATCAAATAATTGCCTTTTTTGCTTTCAAACATAATTTTCGTTATCCTTGTACTGAACCTACCATAAAAATTGTTAATGTGGCTTAGAGAGTATCTGGGGTGAAATCCATGTGTGCACACAGGCCTGCTGGGCACCACATGAACTCCACTTTGCAGCAGCTAACCTTGGGTCACACAGGGTACAGGGAATATATGTAATCTTCAGGGAAACTGAAAATCTAGGCAGCAGCATGCTGGCAGGACATCAGACAAAGTTTCTGGCATGAGTTAAGCTGGCAGAGCACCAGAATGGTAGTTTTCTCTGTTTAAAATTATAGGAAAGAGAAGAGTTTTGTGGTTGCTTATGTATTTTTAATCCTTTAAAAAGGGGGGGTGGAAAAGGAAAAAAATTCTTTCTGAAGCATTCACAAGGTATTATCTGGTTTTTAAATGTAATCTCAGCAGTATTAATTGCAGATGTTTACTGACTTTCTGCAGTGGTAGCTGCAGAATTTTATGGAGATACTTGAAGCACACTGTCTCTGGACTGAGGGAATTCCTGTTCACAAAAGGGGAATCTGCAGCAGCTGTGTTTGAATAGCCAGTATAAGTTGAATTCCCAAAGCATAAAGCAAGTTACTTCTTTTCAGCAAATGAAACTTATCTGCATTAAATTATACAGTGGTTTTGTTTTTCCTGCCACTGTTTTTATGTGGAGGGTCAATTTATTCCTGTTATTAGTAGTAGGAACTGAGCAGAAGTTTGGTCTTCAGGCCACTCTTGGACTAGTCTAATTTTTTGCCTAAATATTTTACAGTAAAAAAGAATGTGGGAGGTCGAATTTGAAATTACTTGTTTGCTGGAGGATAAACATATGTTAGGTAAATAGTAGAGGAAAAGAACTTTATTGTAAAGCCAGTACAACCCATTTTTGTTAGCAGTGTGCAAAATTATAAAGCTGACCATCTAAACACAGAATTTTCACAATGAAAGATGGTTTATATTTTGCATCTCTTTCAAATATGCAGTAAGCTTCATAGTGCTTCTGTTCAATTTTAGATTGACTAATTTTGGCACTAGACTACTACTATTTAGGGTGTTAATTGCTATGAAGTTTTTTTATTTAAACGCTTCTAGTATTTTAAAAAATAATTTTGTGGAAAGAAAGATGTTTTTCAGGTTGAAACTTCTTTTAGGACTTTGCTTCATCAGCTTTGTTCAGAGCCATGTTATGCTGTAGGTATTTTAAGGTAAAATCATTATTTGAGAGTTCTGTTTTGTATAACTACATGATGACTTTCTGACTACTTCTTAGAAAGACTCCTCCTGACTGTAGGTGAAAGGATGACAGTCAAAGACTCTTGTGGAATGGTTACAATCCATTGAGTATCTGTATGTATTAAAAGTGTATCTAAAAATACCACCTAAGAAGTATATGAAATAATTGGTACACTCATTGATTAACCCCCTTCTAAATCAATAATTCAAATTTTGAATTTGTTTCCTTTCAGATTACGTTGCAGAATAATTACAATCAAATTTAAACTAGAGAGGTATTCTAACAAATTTCTTAAAATTATGGTGAGTGCAAAAGGTAGCTAAGCTATGCTGCTCTCCTTTCTCCCATTAAAAAGCTTTTGAATAATGAAACTCATCTTTTCTGTTTTGTTTCTTTTCTTAGAACTTTCAGAAGCTTCTCATTCAGCCCCTTCTAGAATAAGCCTTGTCTACTTAGAGGGCTTTTGTTAAGCACTCAGGAGGTATATTGTTCAACTAATTTAACATACTTTTGTGCTGACATCAATGTAATTAGCTTTTAAATGTATAGGCCTACAGAACTCCACAGGACTCTGGTCTCCTTTATTCTGGGCTGCCTTCCAAAGGCCATCCTTCCTCTCCCTTTTGATTGCCTGTAATCCCTACAATCACCCAGAGACAATTGCTGACCACCTACGCTGACTGAAGTTGTAGTATCAGAGTAAGACTGTGGGTTTGTTTATTTTTCAAAGCAGCATCCTTCAGTCCAGAGTCGATAGGATCGACTATCGACTATAGTCGATCTTACTCTGACGTCCAGATTAAGTAGTTTAAGAAAATTAGTCATAAAAGATTTTTGGAAAACAGTTGAATATGTATCCAAGGGTAAAATGTCCTTTGATTTTGGTTTTGCAAAATTAATGAGGCAGGAGATTTTTCTTGTAATATTTTATACTGCCAGAATTTGTGATCCCCCTGGGCTGCTTCAGGCTGTTGGCTAGGTGGCTGCACAGCCTGTGCAGTGAGGCAGGTGAGTGCTGATCCAGAAATCACAGCAGCAGGGATTTATTACCTTAGTGAGGACTGTGCCTTCCACAGCTGGAGACTTTGTCATACAGCCCTTGAATGAGATTGCTTCAAAAGCTTGTTCCAGTCAGTGATGCCTGCTAATTGCAATACTAGCAGCTCACGACATGCTCCACTGACTATTCAACATTTTTCATTTTAAGTGAGAATTACATTTTTTATAATTAGAAATACTCATCTAGCAATATAAGGTCAATAAAAGAAGATTTTGCTGAGACATCATATTTGATTGCCATGCTGGCTGCAGCCAGACATTGGAACTGAGTAATTTTAAAGTAGATTACTATATGAATAAGTAAATAAATCTCTGAAGCCTCATAAATAATTCTAAGGAAGGAATGTAATTGCAGGTGCTGTAATGATAAGATAGGGCAGTTCCATGTAGCTCAGAAAGCATACAAGATACAGCCATGGAACAGTGATAGAATGAAGATAAGTCTGGAGGAGTAGGGACAGAAATAGGACTGCACTTTGCAAATAGGGAGCAGGACAGTGAGCTGTGAATGATCACTGGGTATATACAAAAGGGGATACCTTTTGTTTGAAAATTAGGCTATGATAATGCACCTAGGGAAAAAGTACTATTCATCCTGAAGTACTTTAGTGTTACTGCAACTGCAAGACATGCTTTACCTAATTATTAGGTTTTGAAAATCTAAACTACAGAGTCAGAAAATTTACTTCTATGTGCATTTTTTTCTTGTTGTATTGGGTCTGGGTTGTGGTTTGTTTTTTTTTTTTACTTTTAATTTGGGTTATTTTCAGGAAAATGAAGGCTTTAAATAAAGTAAGGGTGGTGTCTGGAAGTCCATTTTACTCTTGTTAGTACGAATAATGACTGTTTATTACTATCTGCATTTGGAAAAGAAATAACATCTGGTAAGAAGTTAAATCAATACAACCAATGATGACATTCCTTTAAAATGTGATGGGCCAATACTTAGATGTGTTGAAATGCAGATTTTTATTTAGTTTTTTTCTTAGATGCTTGGGGTTTGTGTTACGGTTGTGTAAGAACCATGCATTTCCACAAAGACAGGGACTGTTATGGCATTTCTAAAGCTTACTTAAGGTAATTAAAATATTCTCAATGACCTAGTTAGCTTTAGCCAAGCTGATGCAAGTCTTGACTCCATTCACACTCTAATGACATTATCAGAAAAAATACTGTAGGAAGACTTCAGGATGGGGCTCTCTACCTAAAAGCTGAGCTGGCTCTTTACCTAGAAGACAAGACTATTGGATGCATCAGTATAGAGTCAAAAGAAGAATTCCTTGCGAGTTTTCTTCTTCAACACGGTAACTGAGATGGTAAGAATTGATATGAACTTGAAGTCCTAAATGAGAAGACAACTAGTACATTGAACCATAATGGTTCAGTAGTTCCATACAGCAGGACATTTTTCTGCAATGAGTCTGCAACACTCAGGAGACTGCTGTTTATTATCAGCATTGCAGGGAGAGGAAGAATTCTAATAATATTAAGTACATAAATCATATTAGGAGGATGCTTTTTCTTTGTAATCTTGGAATGACATAGCCTTGAGGGCATCCGTGAATCCTGATCAGAAAGGCTGCTTTTTGTATAAGTGACTGAACATTTGTACTTGTAAGGGCTGGTACAGTATGGAAAGGGAGAACTTTAGAGAACAAGAAGGTAATGAGGGATGTGGTGTGGAATACTGCTACCCCCAAGTCAGCTGATATTCCTGCCCTGACTAGGCTACAGTTTGGTTTATTCTGCATGTTTGAAAGGGCATATAGTTTTACAAGCTTTTGTAGTGGGGATGCAGGCATCCAGAATCTAACAGGTATATAGGTGCATCTCCCTCATTTTTGACAATTACTTGATATAATTTTATAACAAGTTCTTTGTTTTTAAAGAATTTCAGGCACTGAGAATACAGAGTGCGTATTTATTTCTAAGCTTTAAGTAGAACACGGTGTATTTTTTAATCCTTTCCATACTTTTCAGTTAAGTGTTCACAAGACTGTATATCAAATACAATACCAAGTTTTTCTATCTTTCTACAAGCCAATTTAAGTTTCATCTGAATTTGGTATATGTCTTTCACGTAACACTAAATGGGGAATATGTGCTTCAAGCATTAAGATGGTCTATGTCCTTTTCTCCATTTACATTGCATTACATTTCACTTTTTTCTTTGAGGCAGAGAGAACAGTTAGAAAATGTGTTGAGTGTGTTACAGGGGCACACAATGTGTTTCATTGTGCCTGGCTTCAAGGAATGTACTATAATGTTTGACTGCTCACAGATTTACATAATTTGAATACAGGACTGTTGTGTTGTATTTCCTGTTACTCAAAAACATTTGGGGAAAAGATTTTTCTGTGTATAATTTTATTTTCATACTGATCTCTATTTTGTTTAAGACCATGTTTCATCATGAAATCACTTAATTAAAATAAATCTTCTTACAAAATCCACTTTGGAAATAACTTCTTTTATTGTGCCTCTGAATATACTGTAACATCATTTTTTAAATGAGTACCTTTATCTCTAGATCATTCTATGCCCTTTGCAGCATTTCAAAACGTTTAGAAGAACCACAAGATACTCTTTGTGACATCACCTTTTCTAAGTCCTA